TCCCCAGAGAATTGCCCAAGCAACAGAAGGCTGGCATTCAATAAGTTTTAAACTTTTAAAGTGCTGTGTGGCCTTGTCCTTCCCTCCTCCACCACCCCTCCTGGTGCTTCTCTTCTCCACCACCCCTCCTGGGCTACCTTGGTAGTTATCCCCCTATTTGTATGATGAATGAATAAAGAATGCATGAATGTGAAGCAACAATGACTTTATTGCCTCTGCAAGTGGTGATCGAAGGGAGGTGGGGAGGGTGGTTAGCTTACAGGGAAATAGAGTGAACCAAGGGGTGGGGGGTTTCATCAAGGAGAAACAAACAGAACTTTCACACCGTAGCCTGTCCAGTCATGAAACTGGTTTTCAAAGCTTCTCTGGTGTGCACCATGCCCTTCTGTGCTCTTCTAACTGCCCTGGTGTCTGGCTTTGCGTAACCAGCAGCCAGGCGATTTGCCTCAACCTCCCACCCTGCCATAAACGTCTTCCCCCTTACTCTCACAGATATTGTGGAGCGCACAGCAAGCAGTAATAAGAGTGGGAATATTGGTTTCACTGAGGTCTAACCGAGTCAGTAAACTGCGCCAGCGCACTTTTAAAAGTCCAAATGCACATTCTACCACCATTCTGCACTTGCTCAGCCTGTAGTTGAACAGCTCATGACTACTCTCCAGGCTGCCTGTGTATGGCTTCATGAGCCATGGCATTAAGGGGTAGGCTGGGTCCCCAAGGATAACTATAGGCATTTCAACAGTTATTTTCTGGTCTGGGAATAAAGTTCCTTCCTGCAGCTTTTGAAACAGACCAGAGTTCCTGAAGATGCGAGCGTCATGTACCTTTCCCAGCCATCCCACGTTGATGTTGGTGAAACATCCCTTGTGATCCACCAGTGCTTGCAGCACTATTGAAAAGTACCCCTTGCGGTTTATGTACTCGCTGGCTTGGTGCTCCGGTGCCAAGATAGGGATATGGGTTCCGTCCATGGCCCCACCACAGTTAGGGAATCCCACTGCAGCAAAGCCATCCACTATGACCTGCACATTTCCCAGGGTCACTCCCCTTGATATCAGCAGATCTTTGATTGCATTGGCTACTTGCATCACAGCAGCCCCCACAGTAGATTTGCCCACTCCGGTAGCTGTCTGGCATTGCAAGCTTCCACAGGGCTATTGCCACTCGCTTCTCAACTGTGAGGGCTGCTCTCATCTTGGTATTCTTGCGCCTCAGGGCAGGGGAAAGCAAGTCACAAAGTTCCATGAAAGTGCCCTTACGCATGCGAAATTTTCGCAACCACTGGGAAGCGTCCCAGACCTGCAACACTATGCGGTCCCACCAGTCTGTGCTTGTATCCTGAGCCCAGAATCAGCATTCCACCGCATGAACCTGCCCCATTAGCACCATGATGCCCACATTGCCAGAGCCCGTGCTTTGAGAGAAGTCTGTGTCCATGTCCTCATCACTCTCATCACCCCGCTGACATCGCCTACTCGCCCGGTATCGTTTTGCCAGGTTCTGGTGCTGCATATACTGCTGGATAATGCGTGTGGTGTTTAATGTGCTCCTAATTGCCAAAGTGATCTGAGCAGGCTCCATGCTTGCCATGGTATGGCATCTGCACAGAAAAAAGGCGCGGTGACTGCCGTTGCCCTGATGGAGGGAGGGGTGACTGACGACATGGCTTACAGGGTTGGCTTACAGGAAATTAAAATCAACAAAGGGGGTGGCTTTGCGAGAAACTGAATGGCCCCCTCAAGGACAGAACTCAAAACCTCAAGGATAGAACTCAGAACTGGGTTAAGCAGGCCATTGATTTCACAGAGGGAGGGAGGGAGGAGAAAATGAATACAAAACAAATCTGGTCTATTTCTTGTTTTGAGCCACTTCATCTATCTTTATATATCTTGCTGGCAGCAGACTGTGCAGTATGACTGCTAGCCATCGTCAACACCTGGATGCTCGGCAGAAGACGGTGCAGTATGACGACTAGCCATCATCTTCTGCTAGCTGCAGATTAAAAGACAGTGCGGGACTGAATCGCCATGAGACGAAACAAGGCTGACCTGGCTGAGTCACTCCCATGTTTGCACAGGCGCCTAGTTAAAAGAGCACCCAGGACTATGTCAACCAGTCATACTGCACTGTCTGCTGCCAAAAGGCAATAAACTGCTGCTGTGTAGCAATGCAGTACCACGTCTGCCAGCACCCAGGAGACATACGGTGACGGTTAGCTGAGCGGGCTCCATGCTTGCTGTGGTACGGCATCTGCACAGGTAACTCAAGAAAAAAGGTGCAAAACGATCGTGTGCCCTTGCTTTCACGGAGGGAGGGAGGGAAGGGGGTCCTGACGATACGTACCCAGAACCACTCGTGACAATGTTTTAGCCCCATCAGGCACTGGGATTTCTACCCAGAATTCAAATGGGTGGCGGAGACTGTGGGAACTGTGGGATAGCCACCCACAGTGCAACGCTCCGGAAGTCAACGGTTGCCTCAGTACTGTGGACACACTCCGCCGACTACATGCACTTAGAGTATTTGTATGGGGACACACACAATCAACTGTATAAAAACGCTTTCTACAAAACTGACTTCTATAAATTCAACCTAATTCCGTAGTGTAGACATACCCATAGAAAAATAAGATTATTAGGAAAGAAATTAATATATTTTTATTAGGGCTGTCAATTAATTGCAGTTAACTCATGTGATTAACTCAAAAAATTAGTCACAGTTTTAACTGCACTATTAAACAATAGAATAGCAATTGAAATTTATCAAATAGTTTGGGGTATTTTTCTACATGTTCAAAGATATTGATTTCAGTTACACCACAGAATACAAAGTGTACGCTGCTCACTTTGTATTTATTTTTTATTACAAATATTTGCACTGTAAAAATGATAAATAAAAGAAATAGTATTTTTCAATTCACCTCATACAAGTACTGAAGTGCAATCTCTTTATTGTGAAAGTGCAACTTACAAATGTAGATTTTTTTGTTACATAACTGCATTCAAAAACAAAACAATGTAAAAATTTAGAGCCTATAAGTCCGCTCAGTTCTACTTCTTGTTCAACCAATCACTAAGAGAAATAAGATTGTTTACATTTATGGGCGATAATGCTGCCCGCTTCTTATTTACGTCACCAGAAAGTGAGAACAGGCATTTCCATGACACTTTGGTAGCTGACATTGCAAGGTATTTACATGCCAGATATGCTAAACATTCGTATTCCTCTTCATGTTTCAGCCACCAGTCCAGAGGACATGCTTACATGCTGATGATGCTCATTAAAAAATAATGCATTAATTAAATTTATGACTGAACTCCTTGGGGGAGAATTATATGTTTCCTGCTGTTTTACCCGCATTCTGCCATATATTTCATGTTATAGCAGTCTCGGATGATGACCCAGCACACGTTGTTTGTTTTAAGAACACTTTCACTGCATATTTGACAAAATGCAAAGAAGGTGCCAATGTGAAATTTGTAAAGATAGCTACAGCACTCGACCCAAGCTTTAAGGATCTGAAGTGCCTTCCAAAAATTGGGACCGACAAAATGTGGAGCATGCTTTCAGGAGTCTTAAAAACGCAACACTCTGATGTGGAAACTACAGAACCCAAACCACCAAAAAGGAAAATCAACCTTCTGCTGGTGGCTCAGATGATAAAAATGAACCTGCATTGGTCCGCACTGCTTCGGATCATTATCTACCAGAACCCGTCATCAGCATGGATCCATGTCCTCTGGAATGGTAGTTGAAGCATGAAGGAAGATATAAATTTTTAGCATATCTGGCACGTAAATATCTTGTGATGCTGGTTATAATAGTGCCATACGAATGCCTATTCCCACTTTCAGATGACAAGAAGCAGGCAGCATTATCTCCTGCAAATGTAAACAAACTTGTTTGTCTGAGTGATTGGCTGTACAAGAAGTAGGACTGAGTGGACTTTCTAGGCTCTAAAGTTTTACCTTGTTTTATTTTTGAATGCATTTTTTGTACATAATTCTACATTTGTAAGTTCAACTTTCATGGTAAAGAGGTTGCACTACACTACTTGTATTAGATGAATTGAAAAATACTATTTCTTTTGTTTTTTACAATGCAAATATTTATAAAAATAAATATAAAGTGAGCACTGTACACTTTGTATTCTGTGTTATAATTGAAATAAAATATTTGAAAATGTAGAAAACATCCAAATATATTTAAATAAATGGTTTTCTATTATTGTTTTACAGCATGATTCATCATGATTAATTTTTTAATCACACAATTTTTTTAATTTTAATGGTGATTAATTTTTTAATCGCTTGACAGCCCTTACTTTTATATGGGTTTTTCAGTGAGTTAATGATTATTACGGATAAATTTGTATATGAATTAGATCAGTGGTTTTCAACCTAAGATTTCCAACGAGGTCTGCACCTCCATTCAAAACATTGTAGGGGTCCACAAATGAAAAAAGGTTGAAAACCACAGAAATAGATGAATGTCCCATTTTAGGTGGGAATTAAACCACTGGTGGCAGTGAAGAAAGCATGTTTCATTTTCTGTACATCTGGAGATATGGAATGGTTCAATGCGAAACATTAATAACGCCAAGAACAGTCTGCTTCCTCACAACCATCAATCAGAGAGCTCCTGGGATCTCAGTTTTATCCTGTTCTTTACTAAAGTCAGAAATATTATTTTAAAAATCCAACAACTAAGACTTTAAACAATGATTTGAGGACTTCAGTAACTCAACCAGAGGCTTAGGGTCTATTACAGGAGTGGGTTGGTGAGGTTCTATGGCATGCAATGGGTAGGAGGTAAGACTAGATGATCAGGATGAACTCTTTGACCTTAATGTCTATGAACTATTAAATTAAATAAATAAGATAAGTCAGAAACCAGGCTATGAATAGCAACTTCCATACATGCAAATAAAAGCTGCTTATGAGATTATGATGACCTAACTGCTACCACTGGTGAGGTGTCCAATAATGGAACCAAATGCTGAAATATTTTAAATTAGAATTCAAGTTCTGATCATTTGATCTTTGAGTAGTTTATTCCAAAACACAGTTATACAATAGGTTTCCTTTTCAGCTGGAAGCATAACTCAAAAAGCTATTTTGGAGGGGAGATATTTGCTGTTTGACCTCAACACCATACTTACCAAGCCAACCAACTGGGCAAATTACATATGCCACAACATTTTAACAAAGTTCAAGTTCCTGTTTGTCTTCTTTCAGTTTATGTTTTGGGTTTAGTATGGAGTCAGGTACTTTGAAGGTGCAAAATCTCATGTAATTTCAAACTGTGTCCTCCAAAGCTGAAGTTCCTCAGGTGCTCAGTGTGTGTCCACTGACTAATAGGTCTTTTTTTCAGCTCACTCTCCTGATAAATTCTGATTTTCCTTCTTCCTGTTGGAAAGCTTCATTGTCATCTGGAGGAAGCACTTTCTTTTTCAGTTCTTCTTATATATCTGCTCTTGGTCTAGAAACAGCTAAATTAAAAACCTTTGGAAATAGAGTATAGAGGAAACACAGAGAAATTGCAAATAGCTGGTTGACGGATAGCAGCATGAGTGGCAGTGCGATATGATAAATATATTTCATGAAAGGGCTACACACAATGTACCTCTTTTGTATTTGTACATCACCGATTGAACACAGAGATGGCAAACAAGTCATTTGCTTGCCTTGGGCTGCACATGGGCAACTGCTTGAAAATATCAGAACCCATAACGTTTGTGCTGGAAATGGCCCACCTTGATTATCATACACATTGTAAGGAGAGTGATCACTTTAGATAAGCTATTACCAGCAGGAGAGTAGGGTGGGAGGAGAGAAAACCTTTTGTAGTGATAAACACCCATTTTTTCATGGTTTGTGTGTATAAAAACATCTTCTGTATTTTCCACAGTATGCATCCGATGAAGTGAGCTGTAGCTCACAAAAGCTTATGCTCAAATAAATTGGTTAGTCTAAGGTGCCACAAGTACTCCTTTTCTTTTTGCGAATACAGACTAACACGGCTGTTACTCTGAAACCTGTCATAATGTTTAATGATATCTGAAGTATTTTGGCCTTTCCAATGCATTGTTGTTAAAGCTAAAATGAAAACAAAAAATTAAATAGAGAATTTGAATTATTTTCTAAAATGATGTTTGCTGCTCTTCATGTTGTATGAAAGCCGGATTGACTTCTCCATCCTCAGGTTCAGGGTTGATGTGGTTGGTTTGTACTAATTCATTTGTGGCTGCTTTCCTTCTCCTATAAGCAAAAAGAATCTGTTAATATATAGGAAGCTGAGTCCCTGCTTTGATCAAGTTCTTATGGATTCTAACAAGAGACTATTGTAAAAAAAAATACTGTATTCCATGTGATTCATTTTACCAAAACAAATTACTCTGGGCTTATTGACTTTAATGGGAACAGGAGGAAGTTCATCATATGGCATGTTGTAGAAGTGCCATTGATACAAATAAGTTGTAAAACAATGAACCAATCTTTGTTGTATTGGTTTCAGATCAAAACTATGCTTCAAACAATTCTTATGAAAAAAAGACATGCAAAGCACATTATAGGTGAGTTCCTCCAGTGCATTAGGGTGGGTTGGAATCCAAAAAAACAATTTAGGCTTGCTGAAAACCCATCTTCAGGCCTAGCTTCAATAATGTTGAGTTGCCAGGCCTCCCGCTGCTTGCATATATTATTTAAAATAATACTTACTTTCTTCGGTCTCTCTGCCCAGTGATGATCAAGACAATGACTCCAATCACAACTACGCCCATGACCACCCCAAACAGTATTAGCCAGACAGTGACAGGTGGTTCATAAGTTGGTGCCAGTGTTGGAAGAATACCCTCAAACTCCAGAGTTTTATCATCCAGTTTGAAAGCCTCATTGATTCGTCCCCGAGACATTCTGCCATCAAGAGTACAATCAAATAGATGAATAAATTAAACACAAACAAATCAAATATTTTTGGATTCCTTATAATCCTCTAGGTATTTTAAACTTCCATTGAACTCTTTGCTTGAAGATGCTGCTTCAGTACTGGAGTGATAAACAGCAATAAGACATGCCAGATTTGTTCCTGCTACAAAGACAGTAACTGAAAGCCCGAATTTCTGTAGCAACCAGAACTGACATATTCAGATTTGTTACTGTACACAATAGTATCCCAAATCCTAATAGCCAAACCAAACCAAGGCAAGAAACCCTTTGACCTCACTGTCTACTTGCATCTTATCTCTCTCCTTCCCTTTACCTCTAAGTTCCTTGGATGCCCAGCATAAAACCACAGCCTTGACTTCCCCTTCTCTGTTTCCCCCTTAGATCCCTTGCAATATGCATTTTGCCTTCTTCACGCCACCAAAAATACTCTCACCAAAGTCTCCAGTGGCCTTTTCCTGGCCATGTCTAAGCTACTTTTCTGCATCTTGGTCTTCCTTGATCTTTCTGTTGCTTTTGACAAAATTTGCAAGAGACCATAACTTCTTTGGCCGTATTCTCTCCTAGTTTTCCAATCTCTCTGACTACTCATCAGCACCTCCTTTGGTTTTTAATTCTCCCCAGCCAGTCCCTCAGGATTTGTCCTTTGTCCCTTCTTCTTTTCTCTCTCTATGTCATCCACAACCTTATTGTTCACACAGCTTAATTCATTCTCTCTGTGGTAGTATCACAAATCTACTTCTCCATCCTTGATCTCTTCTGTGCAGTCTCCCATACCTGGCTTTCTTTCCAACATATCATCCTGAAGGTCCTGCTTAAAAATAGCACCTGAACTTACACCAGTTAGGTTAAAATTACATGGGCCTTCTATCTTCAAGTTCAGGGCATAAACTAGTCACCAGCTGGGGTTGGAGAAATGTTCCTTGTCCATGGCACAGTACAGTACAATTCGATGTATTCTAGGAGTTTCACAACTTTTCTGTGTCACCTTATATTGGCTGCTTTGAAAACAACATCCAATTAGACAGGCTATTGATCTTTTTTGATATGACAATTTCGCTCATCCTAATTTTTCCTTACTTTAGTTTTGTATCACACTTTCTCATAATACCTCCCTCAGTCATTTGAATATTTATATGGCTCCAGCCCTCTTTCATGTTATTTCCTCTAAGAGCAAAATTTCACCTGATGGCTGTTTCCACCTCAGTTTTGGGAACGATGTCAATGTTATTACCAGGCATTCTGACGGTAAAATAGAAGGAGATTCTTTGTGTTACATTCTCTACTTTAATGTCTGTGCTCCTGAAGGGAAATATAAAAAAAATGTTTCATGATTAAAGAGATACCCCCAAATAAAAATCACATGAATGAAAATCTTGCATCCACTATACCTACAAAAAACACCTCGCAGCACAACTTAAGGGTCCATTGCTTGAAAGGTATTTTTGTCAACACTTGAGCTTTCAGTTTTGTGTTACTAAGTAATTCTAGGTTTCAGAGTAGCAGCCGTGTTACTCTGTATTCGCAAAAAGAAAAGGAGTACTTGTGGCACCTTAGAGACTAACCAATTTATTTGAACATAAGCTTTCGTGAGCTACAGCATCCAATGAAGTGAGCTGTAGCTCACGAAAGCTTATGCTCAAATAAATTGGTTAGTCTCTAAGGTGCCACAAGTACTCCTTTTCTTTAAGTAATTCTAGATACAGCTGCATTACCCCAGGACTGAGAATCTCTTAAAGCAGCAGTTCTCAACCAGGGGTCCAAGGCCCCCTGGGGGGCTGTGAGCAGGTTTCAGGGTGTCCACCAAACGGCCGGCATTAGACTCACTGGGGCTCAGGGCAAAAAGCTGAAGTCCAGCCATCCCAAGCCTGAAGGTGAAGCCTGAGCAGCTTAGCTTCGCGGGTCACCTTGTGGCATGGGGCCCTCGGCAATTGCCCTGTTTGCTATCCCCTAATGTCGGCCCTGGCTTTTATATGCAGAAAAACAGCCTGTGGTGGCACAGCTGGGCCGTGGAGTTTTTATAGCATGTTGGGGGGGGCTCAGAAAGGAAAAGGTTGAGAACCCCCTGCCTTAAAGCACCTGGCCAAGCACAGAACAGCGGGGTTGCCCTCACATGTTTGGGGCAAAACTCAGCTCAGCTTCTTGCACTTTGAACTAGAGAATTAAAACTAGCATTTGGTTGCACCTAGGCCTGCTGAGAATAAAGCTTCGACATCATGGTGATTGATGTGCTATAAATGTGATCAGATGTATTAGGCAGATCGCCTCAGAAAATCATCCGAAGAGGCCTATCTAAAAATCGTTCCAAAAGACTTAGCAAGAATAATGCTATTTTTGGTACAAATATCTATTTCTGGTCATAGCCTATGTTAGTGAAGGACTACATATTTTTAAATGAAATTAGATTAGGGTTGCATTTATTTATCGTGGGTGACTTTTCACCTCATTTAGATCAATTAACTCATGTTTTGTGGGTCCAAAATCCCTTGGCTATTCAGCATCATGTATATGATACAAGTGTTATTGCCCAGAATTTTATATAATTTCATTTTTTATTTTTAATGGAATGTTTCTCCTCTCGGGAAGGTATCTCTATTGCTCCATTCTCTGGCTATCATAGCCCTATTCCCCTGTTAGCATTTGGGCAGCTGTTCTCAAGATCAAATCTCACCATTAGTAAGTGGTAAACTACAGTCTCCTACCTCACCTAAAAATAAAGTATCGTCTAACTATTGCACAGGTGATGTTTTTCTTTCTGTCAAAAGTTCTGAAGATTAAACAGCATGTGGCAAAGCAAATGGCTCTCCTATTAAGACCAGTCAATGCCCTCATGTCCTTTAGTATGAAACCATCAGACCTCCTCCAGCTACATTACACAGAAATCAGAATTAATTCCACCAGTACATATCCCTGCTGAACCAAAAGCAGTACTGTAGGCTCATGCATGCACATGCATGCACAGTCAAACAAAATAACTCACTGGAATGAGACAGTCTGGTTCTTGACCTCTGAGAAATACTTCCTCATGGCATAGGCAATCGATGACTGGAACAAATATAATTCATTTTCATCCCATTTGTACTACAAATATAAAAAACAGACCTTCAGTAGAGATTATAATTATGCTGAAAATTACTGTGCATTAAGCAATGACTTTTAAAATACTGCTTCAGTAGTAGTAATTATAATTACAGCTAGGCAATTTTTTTTTTTTGGCCAGAAAATGCAGATTCAGGTCAACCAAAACATTTTGTAACTTCATTGAACCTGCCAAATTGTTTTGGTTGGAAACCAGACACACCCCCGCCAAAAAAAAATTCTTTCATTTTTAATATTTTCAAAACAACTTTTCATTTCAAAATTTCATTCAATTTTATTTTTTAAAAAATAGTTACATGTAAAAATAAATGTGTTGACTTGGCTCAAACCCCAGTCATGGCTCAGGGTCCCATTGAGCTAGGAGTTGTACAGAAGGTAACGAAGAAGACATTCCCTACCCCATAGAGCTCACAGACCTTTTACCAGGCAGCACATGAGAGGTGGACAAACGTGTGAGAATGAGGTAACAAAATGAACAGAGGTTAGCAGAAAAATGGAGGTCTTGGCTCACCACTTACTTATTTACAAAGGTAATTTACATGCCCAAAATGACTTATAAATATCTGATTAATCATCACACCTCCCTTCAAAATAGATAAGTGATTGATTCCCTATTTTACAAACGGGGAAAATGAGACATACATAAATGGAGTGTCGTGAAGAAGCTCACTGAGGGTAGATCTATACTGCAACAAAAGACCCGTAGCATGGCTGCAGCTGGGCCAGGTCAGCTGACTCGAACTCGCAGGGCTCAACCTGTGGGGCTATACAACTGCAGTGAAGACGTTCGGACTTGGGTTGGAGCCAGGGCCCTGAGACGCTGTGACAGGGGAATGTATCAGAGCCGAGACTCCAGCCCAAGCCTGAATGTTTACACTGCAACTTTTAGCCCTGCAGCCTGACCCCTGCAAGTCTGAGTCAGCTGACCCAGGCTCTGAGATTTGGTGCCACAAGTTTTTTTTATCTCAGTATACACATACCCTGAGTGAGTCAATTGCTGAGCCAAGCCCAGAATGCAGGGGTTTCCAGATTCCAGTCCCATATCTAGTCCACAGCTGATGCTGTTCCTCTGAACCTGACCATCTTTGAATGTGTTGTCATCTATCTGAAGTTCTGCCATTGTAGGTTATTTATCACCTACAGCTATTTTGTGTCTTGACTGAATCCCACAAATAGGACCAGGAATATCTATCCCATTTCAACCCAAGGGTTCATAATAGCTGAAAAGATCTTTTTTGCTTAAAATAACAAGAAGCCAAATCCTAGCTCTCATGGATTCTTTACCCAGGAGTATTTCCACTGTAGTTATTGGGAGTTTTGTCTGGGAAAGGACTTTATGATTTAGACACTGGTTTCCATTATATAATTGTATACATAAACAAGTCATTTAGTAGGAGACCGAGCTGTTTTGGTCTTTGTATTTTTCTTGTTAAGAATTCTTTGCAGCCATGTTTCTGCATAAGGTAGTTATTGATTTTTGTGTCCCAAACCAGACAAGTGATTCAAAAAAGGCAGAGCATATGTGGTATTTCATAGGAAACTACATGATAGGTCAGATATTAACTCCAATGGAACACAGAAACAGAGAAAGGTGCGTCAAGTTAAATAGCTCATTTCTGGCAGGTGCCCCTGCCTGTGCAGGTGGAAAAACCCAGCAATAACAGAGAATGTATCCTATGTAATTGTGCAATGGTGTACGTGGAAGGAAAGTTCATTTTTGACCTCTGTAGCAATCAGTTTATAACTTGAAGCCAGAGCTTTGATTACATTTATATCTTAGCATGCATGCCCATAAATGTTGTTATTGGTAATATTATCCAGCCCTGATATGAGGCTCATGGGCATGGTATAAAACTCTAGATACCCCCTATATAATAGCAATTTAAAAAAATACTGCTACATTTTTAACTCTCTGATCTCCTGTTGCAGTGAATTTCATAAAAGGAGGATGTGTTGGGCCATATCTTCAGCTGGTATACGTCAGCCTAGCTCCATGGAAGTGAATGGTGGATTCAGCTAGAACAGAAGGAAATGCTTCTAAACTCAGACACAGTCAGTAGACCAATTGCTCGGCAAGTATAGTGTAGCACAGCTCCATTGACTTGAATCTAAATTACTTCCAGGGACAGGCCCAGTGCTCAGCAGTCAGAGGGACAGTGTTCTGATCCAAAGTCCATTGAAGCCAATGAAGTCTTTGTATTGACTTCAGTGAGTTACAGATGAGGCCCTACGGGACAATAAAGGGGGCTTAAAGCCACCATTGCCCACAAACACCTTCTTCTGAGGTGTGTTGAGCATGCAAAGATAGTACCCCAGGATCTGGTCCTTAGCATTAATAATACAGCTGTATGGATTATCTCTGCACTGGCATTCATTATTTAGCTGATACTACACACATCAGTGCCTTTACTTAAGCATTCATAGGAGTTAGCATTGTTTTCTCCTGTAGCTATCACCACAGTCCATCATGCCATTGTGTTTGCTTTTTTCTAATTTTCCTTTCATCCTTTGCCCCTTTCTACTCTGCAATATCTATTTCTCCTGCCCCAAAAGAACCAGTATATTAACAGAGTTTGATTCCACAACCATCACTTTTCATATTTGGCAGTAGAGCTGGTTGGAAAATTTGTGTTGAAATAGTTTTCCATTGCAAAATGCTGTTTCAACTAAACTGATTTATTTTCATTAAATTGTATCATTTAGAAATTTAAAAAAAAACATTTTGAAAATGGCAAAATGTCCTGTTTTGACATTTTCAGAACAAGGTTAATTTGTAATTCAAAAGGACTTTTTGTTTTGAAATTCACTTTATTGATATAAAAATTAAAAAAATTAAAAAGGGTCAGAATCAAAACCACCACATTTCAGATTTAGCCAAACAAAACATTTCGATTGACTGAAAATAAATTATTTTTCAAATTTTGTTTTCCAAAAAATTTCAAAATTTTGGTTTTCAGGATGAATGTTTTTGAAATCTTAAAAACTTTCCTGACCAGTTCTATTTATCAGTTCCTTTGGCTTTTTAATCATTTATCTTGTTTCTATAAAATCTATTTTATGATGTTTTCATTCATAAAAGTATTCAAACAAAGATCTCATGTGCTATTTAAGAGAAAATGTAAGTTTGGCCTCTAATTTTAGAAGGAATTTCCATTTTAAAATACACTTAGTTGTCTACAAGCTGCTGACCTAGCAGTTTGTGTTTCAGCTTTTTATGGTGTGATCACACAGAAGATGCTGACAGAGTGGTTCTGGTTAACATTTAAAAAGTAGTCAATTTTTAAAAAAGAAGAGACAGATCCTCATATTAAATGATTTATGAAATATTTTGTCTACAGTTAGGCAGAAATTAATTGAGTTTAAAAGGACTGGTCCTGGCAGTCTTTTAAATATTTTTTGTTTTATCTTTCAGACACTCTAGTAAAGTCACAGCCAGAGCAAAGCTGCAAGCGTCTCTACCTGATCAACGTCACCTGAGATGTCAGTGCATTCTAAACAGATTCTTAGTGCAATAGATTTAAGTTATATATAGACTATAAGGTGAATAGAAAGCTGGCTAGATCGTCAGGCTCAACAGATAGTGATCAATGGCTCCATGTCTAGTTGGCAGCCGGTATCAAGCAGAGTGCCCCGAGGGTCGGTCCTGGGACTAGTTTTGTTTAATATCTTCATTAATGATCTGGAGGATGGTGTAAATTGCACCCTCAGCAAGTTTGCAGATGACACTAAATTGGGAGGAGTGGTAGATACATTGGAGGGTAGGGATAAGATACAGAGGGACCTAGACAAATTAGAGGATTGGGCCAAAAGAAATCTGATGAGGTTCAAGAAGGACAAGTGCAGAGTCCTGCACTTAGGCGGAAGAATCCCATGCACTGCTACAGACTAGGGGCCGAGTGGCTAGGCAGCAGTTCTGCAGAAAAGGACCTAGGGGTTATGGTGGACGAGAAGCTGGATATGAGTCAACCGTGTGCCCTTGTTGCCAAGAAGGCTAACAGCATTTTGGGCTGTATAAGTAGGAGCATTGCCAGCAGATCGGGGGACGTGATCATTCTCCTCTATTCGGCATTGGTGAGGCCTCATCTGGAGTACTGTGTCCAGTTTTGGGCCCCACACTACAAGAAGGATGTGGAAAAATTGGAAAGAGTCCAGCGGAGGGCAACAAAAATGATTAGGGGGCTGGAGACATGACTTATGAGGAGAGGCTGAGGGAACTGGGATTATTTAGTCTGCAGAAGAGAAGAATGAGGGGGGATTTGATAGCTGCTTTCAACTACCTGAAAAGGGGTTCCAAAGAGGATGGATCTAGACTGTTCTCAGTGGTGGTAGTTGATAGAACAAGGAGCAATGGCCTCAAGTTGCAGTGGGGGAGGTTTAGTAGGAAAAACTTTTTCCCTCGGAGGGTGGTGAAACACTGGAATGCGTTTCCTAGGGAGGTGGTGGAATCTCCTTCCTTAGAGGTTTTTAAGGCCCGGCTTGACAAAGCCCTAGCTGGGATGATTTTGTTGGGGATTGGTCCTGCTTTGAGCAGGGGGTTGGATTAGATGACCTCCTGAGGTCCCTTCCAACCCTGATATTCTATAATTCTATATGTGCTGTTCCAAGCATGCTGCTTCTTTAACATAAGCTATAGTAAACAGACAGTGAAAATTTAACATAAGCTGTGAAAACAGACAAACAATTTACTTTTTTCGCAAAACCGACTGTGCCTCAATTAACTTTTTTTTAAATTAACATAACTGGAAAGGAATGCCTCAATCTTTCCTGGACTTTTACCAGCACCAGTCTGTCAGACGTAATACAATATAGCTGTTGCTGTATTTAGAAAGGATTCAGAAGTCAGGTTTGTCAGGAGAGAAGAGCTTTCACACTGTACAACAGCTCAGACTAAGGCTGTTCATGCTTCTAGAACTATTGAGCCAGACCCTCGGCTAGTGTAAGTCAGTGTAGCTCCATTGACTTCAACAGAGCTACAGTAAATTACACTGGCTGCAGGACTGGACCATGTAGTACACAAGGGACATGGCTAAAGGCTTAACCGAGGCATTAGCATGGGGCCTGAAGCTGTGCTCAGTGACATAAAGCAGTGATGTCACTGGCTTTGATGGGCACAGGAGTAGGCCCATAGTCACTCCCAGGATCACATTACACTATCTCCATTGCACAGTCAGTCCCTGACTTGACACAGGATGCCTGCTCTGACAGCTGTGACCATGAGATGGTCTAATACAGGCAGTTTGCTATGTACTTAGCCCCACTTTTAAGCACCTGTAAGATGCTGTGAAGTTGTTCCTTGCTCAGAAAAAACGTACATTACTTCACGTCTGAATCAGAGGGGCCCTTTCCCTCAGCGTTCTTGACTGCTACAAATCAGCACTTCTTAGGCCAGATTCACTTGTACACCCGCTAGCTAATTTGTGCTGCTCTGGTGATGCAAATCAGTGGTAAACCCAGCATAGCCAACCAGTTAAACTGGAATTTGGGCTGCTTTGCAATGTCTGGGCAGTACAAAGCAGCTGAAGTGTATTGCTGAATGTGTCTCATTATGAGCTGCGGCAAGTCCTATGTAGGCATCTTCCCAACATGCCTACACACTAATTAACACGTGTTACCAAGATCCCTTGCTGAACTACAAGGTTTCAGAATGATTTACTTGTATAGAAGGAGTGTCAGAGCAGAAATGTAGTTAGTGGACAGTGTTTATGCAATGTGCTTGTTTTGCAGCTTGGGACCATATCTTACAGTCATTCAAATTAAGTGCTGTAAATGAGATTGTTTTACAACCACTCAATTGCACGATACAAGAACGTGATGGCAAAAGCCAGGCATAAAATGGTGTTAAGTTAACCATTAACTATAATGGCTAATAAATGTGTTGTAATATGGAGCCTTTTAGTGGTGTTGCTATCACCACTGAATGACATCTAACTCAACTCAGGGGGACAGGAAGCAAAAAAAGTTTACGAGGGCTTGCATAAAAGAGAGTGACAGAACTGAAAGAGTGTGGGTTTGTGTGAGAAAAAATAACACATTTGTGTAACCTTCCTAGACCAATAGGTTCCCACACCTAGGTGTGAATTTCAAATTTGAGTGTTTGGATACATAAGCAAAAAGCACTTGCCTGATGAGCCAATTTTACCTGGAAAAATGCTCATGCTTTGACAGCAATGATAATGGGGGAGGGATAGCTCAGTGGTTTGAGCATTGGCCTGCTAAACCCAGGGTTGTGAGTTCAATCCTTGAGGGGGCCATTTAGGGATCTGGGGCAAAAATTGGGGATTAGTCCTGCTTTGAGCAGGGGGTTGGACTAGATGACCTCCTGAGGTCCCTTCTAACCCTGATATTCTATAAACCTTTCACGGGAAGGAAGGGTCTGTGCACTGTGCCATTGAGAGTAACATGAAGAAGGAAATCTAGAATAAGGAGCAAATCCACAACCAAATACCCAGCCTTGGCAGATCAGCTGAGTTAGCAGTGAGCCTGTCCTCCAGCACGATGTTGAGGGAAGTACCATCTTTTGCCTACTAGCTACTGCACTCCAGAAAAATAATAGTAAGGACATTTGGGCATCTGAGCTAGGAGCATGGGCAGGAGGAGGCTGTGAGGAGGTTTGTAGGATTTATCAGTGCCTGGAAAGATGACATCAAATATGCAAACAAATTGCTAGAAAGAGCAGTCATATTGTTTGTAACAGAGAGCGTCCAACACCTCCTGTATAGAATTCAGCTAGATATTTCCATGTTGATCTGTGATTTGTTAAACAAAACATGACATAGTAACAGAATGAATACACTAATCTGGATTTACTCACTGCATTGTTCCCAAGTGCTGATTTCAGACTGATCCTCACTTTGATTGCATTGAGAGAATCTGATTTAAAAAGAAAAAAAGCACTGCATCACAACTGCAAAGTCTTTTCCATAAAGCTGCTGTATAGCCAAGTGAGATGATGAGGTGATTTTGTTTTACTGATAGTTTTTACCCTCCCCAGGCTAATGAAGGTATCAGATACAACACTGTTCTCAGCCACTAGGATATGCTGCATTCTCCCATACTGACTGTGGCTACAGGTGTGTGTCTCACACGTGCTTCAGCATTTGATGTAGTGGTGCTGGGCTGAATAAAGCATTTTACTACTACTCTCACTTCTTGGGCACCCTCTTTGTTGTGGCCAGTAATGGAGAGCCAGGGAGAGATGGCATTTAACATTCCAAACTGGCTTGCCCATCCTGAGCCTGATTGCCGTTCCAGCTCTGATGACAGAGAGTCTAGATGAGTTCTCACCAGCCCGGCAGATGTGAAGCATGCTCAGTAGGCTCAAGCAAGGGTTATAATTGAAGATCTGAAACTGATCAGTACCTACAAACCCAAACCACTATTCTCCCTTCATTCTGATCATCCGTCCTGAGTTTTTAGCACTGCCAATGTAAAAAGGCTTTTTAAAGTGACTTTTGTCAATAATTCATTATCAGGGTCAAGTGCTCAGTTTCTGGGAATTAGATGAAGCTGTGACAGGCCACCGTGGTCCCTGAGTATCCTGACTCTCCAGCTTTGGGAGTGATGAAGTCAATGAACTTTTGCATGAGCAACTCTTACTGATGGGTCCCAGGGCCGTAGACGTTGCCTGTTGCCTCTCCCAACTGCCAGATTCAACAACTGTGGAAAGAGAAAGGGGGCATGGGTTGAGGAGAAATTGTATTGTCAAGCATTCTGAATTACATATAAAACCATTACGTACATGGAGTCCAGAGTGCATTCCAGCCAACAGATCTGCCACTATTGTTCTTTATCAGCCACTGATGTAAGGGTTCAAAGTAGTGGAGCAAGGGTTTTGCATTCATCTTCTGTTCTCCTGTTATACTTTCTAGTGCCTGGGTCCAGGGCTGTGATCTCCCCAAGACAAGCATGTCCCTGGGTATCGAAGGATCAATAATTATTGCTAGGTTCCATCTGTGCACAGATTATATGTACGCACTCATATGAATGCAAATAAATTCCCTTCTCATTGATAGGAGACTAAACCCCTATGGGTCAGATCCTCAGCTGGTATAAGTCTGCATAACTCCACTGGAATTAGCCAAGGAAACAGACTTTAATGTCGAGCCAAGTTTATCCCTGGTGTAACCCCATTGGCTTCAGTAACTTAAGTGGCTTTACAGCCAGGATGAATTTGGCCCAGTTATATTCACTCTCCTTTTATATAACAAATTGTGTGTTTTGTTACCGCAGTTTGTGACCAGCTGCCGTGGAATTAGTAATGTCACATGTGTAAAGAGGACCTGTATGGTTAGCAGCCTTGCAAAGTGCCTCCTGAAACTGGAACTGATAAATGGTCCTTGTGTAATATCTAAAAGAAAAGAGAAAAAAGAACAAAAGCCATACTTTGTGTTACCCAGCTCACACTGGAGCAGCAAATAGCCTTGCCCTTTGGAATGGACTGCAATTTAGATTAACGCTCCTGCGGTGACCCTGGGCACTTTGGAGAGAAAGACAAAACACTAATGACGAGCTGGGCCAAACATCTTGATAATGTTCAAATGCCAAAATCATAAGAGCTAAGATGTGCTCTCTGTTACAATGGGCCCTAGCTGGAGTAAGTGAAGTTACAGAGACTCTGATTCTCCACTCTAGCTGAGCACAGCTGGGATCATTTGGATGGAGGAGCCCCAGGGAGCCAGCTGCAGCTCTCTGAGTCAGGGCTGTACCCGGACATCCCTAATGTATGTCATTGGCACTAGCGTCTGATCCTTCAGGGGCCTGCTCCCCTGGTTCTTTAGGCACCTGAATCCAGTGAAGGACTTCCAGCGTTCTCCCTCCTTCCCCTTATGGTGAGGATCAGAGAGGCAGCTGGCATAGGAAACAACAGAGCCATCTCCACCAACATTACAGCAGCAGAAAGTTCCTCTGCACAGCAAGAAATTGCTTCTGGGCATCTCCTGTCGCATTACGCCGTGCGAGAATCCGGCCCTAACAAGTCAGCGGGTCTGATCCAATGCCCATTGAAGTCACTGGAAAGATTCCCATTGACTTCCGGAGGCCTTAGGCCAGGGCTTAACCAAAAGAAGAATTTGGCCTTAACACTCTGAATGAAGTATTTGAGCAAGCCGCTGCTTGTCATCTAGGAGTTAAATGATGATGATAAAGGTACCTTATGAAAGAGTAATCATTGGCCACATGAAACAGAGCAGCTGGGTCACAGTATGTTTCATCGTGAGGCAGTGGTTCAACCACACCCACTACTTCTCGCCTGTGGGTAGGGGAAGAAAAAATTAGAGGCATTCCCATTACTAGTTCTTGAGAAAAATATAGACTGACCTTTCCACAGGGCAGCTGCTGTTTGTAGCAGTCATCACTGCTGGCATCTCCCTTACCTTCCAAACACGGACATAACAAAGCTAAATAAACTAGGCTCCTAAACTGCTATTGGGCTGTCCATGGAACTACTGTGCATGGGACTATTGGACCTAAACATTTAACCCTGACTGGAAACTCAAATGTAAGAAGTGAGTGAAAATGTCACAATAATCTAGAACTTTTTGCCAGTTTGAAAATTAACCATGGTAAACAGGTTTTTTTATGATAAATGTTATGAATAAATGCAAGAAAACCAGGCAGGTCAACTAGACTAGTCCAAACAAAAAGAGGCGACTGATATCATTCAAGGACTGTTAAAATGATGCTTTGTAACAACAAGAAGAGGTGTTGTCTGAAATTAATGAACTAAAATTGGTGTGGTGGATATTAGGACTAATTGATGGACAAAATAAAGAGGGAATGAACTATGCCACTCACTTGTCCCCTTTGGGGGTTCCTTAAAAAAAGACTTTGAAAAAAAATTCATCTCCTTTTCCACCTTGTATCCCAGTTGGTCTCATCTGCTCATCTTCCCTAACCCCATGATAAAAGGAGCTGACCAGTCTGAAAGACTTTCTTCCTGAGAGGAAGGCCACTAGGCCTTGCTCTTGTTCAAAGAACTTTGTTTTTCACTTTTCAGAGTAACAGCCATGTTAGTCTGTATTCGCAAAAAGAAAAGGAGTACTTGTGGCACCTTAGAGACTAACCAATTTATTTGAGCATAAGCTTTCGTGAGCTACAGCTCATGATGCATCCGATGAAGTGAGCTGTAGCTCACGAAAGCTTATGCTCAAATAAATTGGTTAGTCTCTAAGGTGCCACAAGTACTCCTTTTCTTTTTGTTTTTCACTTGTGAGTCCTGGAAATCATATCATGACATCCAGGCCTCAGCCCATCAGTGGGGATACCTAATTGCCAGCATTGAAAAGGCACATAAGATCCTGTTCTGTTCCACTCCTCTTGTGTTGCTTTCCCCATCTCCCCCTTCCTCCTATCCTATCTCAATTTTTCATCAAATCCTGAAATCAACTGCATTGCATCAGCACAGTGGGATGAGATGACCACAATTCTATCCTGTTTAAGGAGAAAAGACCCAACCAGATTATGCCCCACGGTCCAAGCAACAGGTGCCCTGATTGGCCTGCCAGCCAAAGCATCCATTCGTGACTCACCAGCCTTCCAGTGTTCCAAAGACATCAACAAAAGCCATATTTCCCTCACCCTTTCTATCCCATCTCTCCTCCACCTTGTGTCTGTGTGTTTGTTAGAAACAGGAGGCATTTTACCCAACAGGACTGAAAGTGAAATTAACCCTTTCCTTTTCATCAAAGTAAGTTTGTTCTCCGAATAGAAGAAACTGATATTTTGCCTCCAAATGGAGAGAAACTTTAAAGGTTTAAGTTAATTTTACATACTACTCTATTTCATTTTCAATATAAATACTTGCTTTAATTTATTGTTCTTCCATCTGTTTCAGCTTTAGAATGAATGCTTTTGGGTGTTTGCTAAGGAACTGAGTAAAACCAAGGCCTCCGTAGAAGAAAACTCCAAACCTAAGTATCTATGTTTTAATGTTGGATTGTGAAAGAGTTTATAACATTGCTAACTTTTTTTACCTTTGAAATCAATACAACAGAACTCACAGTGATGTCAATGGTGGCACGGCTTCAAAATGAATAGCAGGATATGGCCCTTTGACATAAAAGATTAAAAACCAAAGGATTTATGTTAAGATGGGGTAGGAAAGGTAAAATCATTGTTGTAAAATATTCCACAATCAATTGGCTTCACACTCCGCTTGTCATCGGTCTGATGCATAGCCCATTGAACCAAAGACACCATGATGAGGTGTCAACCCCATGCAAGGCCTGAATAGAGAGAAGGCCTAATTAACCTTGTGACAGGCTGCAGCTGGGGGAGAGTCAGCATTGAAAAGGTCTAATTGATGATGAAGCCCAGCTGGGCAAGGGGCAGGCTAAACTGCTATAAAACCAGGAAGGAGAAAGTAAGGAGGGTTGTAGTTAGAGAAGTGGACAGTCACTGTTTGGGCTTAGAGAGGGAAAGGAGGAAACCGGGGCTGAATTGAAGCCCTGGGATCCAGGCCTTGAGGGAAGGGCATATCCAGAGAAGGGTGGAAAAGGAGCATGATAGGGATGAAGTAGAGGAAGTATCCCAGAGAAACAGCAGCAAGGTTTTGGACAGTGCAGAATTTGGCTGCTGGTTGTAGGGTCCCTGGGCTGGAACCTGGTGTAATGGGCAGGCCTGGGTTCCCCTACCAGCCACTGGGGAAGTGGCACAGAGTGGGCAGTGGAGCAGAAGACAGCCTAGGATAGTCATCCAATGGGACTTGGATCTCCCAGGAGAGGAGGATTATAGTGATCTGACCAGAGAGCCAAGCCATGAAAAAGGAATACCCTGAGCAATAAAGAGGGAGTAATCTGATGAGGGAGAGGGAAAGAGAAAGAGAGACACCCTGGGGTGTGAAACTAAAGGAGGTGGTGTCAAAGAAGGCATGAGCTAATCCCCAGATGGGCCACAAGGAGGCACCACAGCAGTGAGCAGCAAACCCTGTGATGAATGTGGGCATAATAAGCATCCCTGAGACAAGTGGAGTGAGAAACTATGCATGTCGGTCACCTCTGAGATGAGGGGAGTGTGAGGGATAGTGCATAACAGTCACCACTGATACAAGGGAAAAGTGAGGGGCCACAGCAGCTGTAGAAGAAGTAAAGGGACTATGGAGCTGCTGTATATGGAGGCCTTTTTTGGAGAAGGCCAGTATACCCTCCTGAAATGGATGCAGAGTTTTTGCTCCTGTTTAAGGGGAATGAAAAGCAATCATGGGGCTCCAGGCACTGCTTCTGCAGAACCAGCAGAGACAGGGGGAGGCCCAGTTATAACTGCAGGGGTATTTAATGAAGCTAGCAGAAAAGCGGAAATCTTTATTTAAGATCCTATGGGGAAAAGTGAGCCAGGGCTGAAGAGGCTGGGAACAGAAAAAATGCTCAGAGGCCTGGTCAAGAGTGTGTATTACACTGCAGGCAGTGGGGACAGTTGAAAAGGGAATGTCCCTGTGTGTATCAGGACAAGGAGTCTTGCCTGGAAAGGAGGGATGCAGAAAAGCCCCAAAGAGTGCCATCTCCTGAAGGAGTAGGAAAAGGAGGGATCTGTTTTGTCTGTGGGAAATGGGAGCAAGTGCAGAGGCACTGTCTTCACACAAAGAGAAACTAGCAGGAAAAGAGCAAACGATCGAGAAAGGAATGGAAGGATGAGCCAGAGGCCCATAGAAAGTGCACAACAGTAGTCGAGAGGACCTAGAGGGTGAGGAGAGATTGGAGGGAAGAAAGAGTCTGCCAAAGACAAAGTTAAAGGATACAAGGACAAACACGGAGAGTAACCAGAAGGCAGTGGGAACTCAGACCCCGGGAGAAAGAGAGCTGGGGGAGTCTGCAGAGCCAGGGCAAAAGCTACAAGAGAGGCTGGCAGCTGCAGAGTAAGCCTTGCAAGTGGCTTCGCAAGACTTAGAATTCCAGAGGGAAAAGTTTCAGGACACCATGGAGGAGAAGGGTAGACTGCTCCTTATGGTGGGTAATCTGGAGCAGAAGCAAGGTAACTAGCTCCAACAACTCCAAGGGGAAAGGCATCCATACCCCCCAGGGTTACAGACTGGAGTGGGAGGGTATGTGATGGGTATCTGCCCCACACAAGGCCTGAGTAGAGAGAAAGGACCAATTAACCCTGTGACAGGCTGCACCTGGGAGAGAGTCAGGGCTGATTGATGAAGCCCAGCTGGGCAAGGGGCAGGCTAAGCTGCTATAAAGTATACAGTAAAGTAGATTCAAAGTAGAGCGTAAGAGGGAGGCTGCAGTAGAGAAAGCAGATAGTCACTTTCTGGGCTTAGAGAAGGAAAGGAGGAACCTGGGGGAGAATAGAAGCTCTGAGATCTGGGCCCTGAGGAAAGGGCACAAACCCAAAGGAGACTGACAGAAGCAAAGTGGGAAGCAGCCCTGGGAAAGAGCAGCAAGGTTTTGGACAGTGCCGACCTTGGCCACTGGTTGTAGGATCCCTGCCTGGAACCGAGACTAGTGGGCAAGCCCGGGTTCCCTCCTAGCCACTGGGGAAGTAGCACAGACAGGGCAGTGGAGCAGAAGATGGCCTAGGACAGCCATCATGGAACTTTGATACCCCAGAAGAGGAGGACTATAGTGACCTGGGCGAAGGGCCAAGCCAGGAAGAGGGAGCACCTGGAGTGGTGAAAAGGGAGTAACCTGACTGCAGAGGGCAAGTGCGAGTGATACCATGGGGAGAGAAACCAAAGGAGAGGGCATCAGACTGGTCATGAGATAATCCGCAGAAGGAGGTGCCACAGCGGTGAGTTGTGAACACTGTGACAGACACCCATTACACTGAATGGGCTTGGGAGCAGGTCCCAGAAAGTGCATTAGTGATATTGAGCAACATCCCATGAGGTAAGTGAATACCATTATTATCTCCATTTTACACATGGGGTAAGTGTGAAACACTGAGAAGTTAAAAGGTCTGTGACAGAGATGGGACTAGAAAGCAGGTCTCTTGCCTGCTGTGCCTTTGGAGTGGAGAAATATAGCTCCTTTTTTTCCTCACGAATAGCTGATTTCCCAAACTGTACCATGGAGAAAGACCTCTTTCAGCATACCTAAATCTCTGAAACTGCAGACATTTAGTCCATACAGGTGTATGAAGACCAAGAACATCTACCAGTGGATAGCATTTCAGTGCCTCTGCGACAGAGCTGTTTACTTTTGCTAACTAATTTGGCATTCCCCTCCACTTCCCTGGCGCCTCTGGTACTCCTGAAAATGAAAACTGAACAATCCCTGAAACCCTCTTCCCCAAAAGTTCTTCTTCCTGTTTCCCCACACTTACTTCATCTCCCACCACTTCTTCATCCATTCACCTTTTGGAATGTCACCTCTAAATACCATCCATCGCCACTTCTCTAGCATGTAAGTAAAAGGCATTGTTCCAACAATAGTGAGGGCTTGTTTGAGTAGGAAGTTGATATCCGTTTCTGAAAAAAGAGCACAATGTAACTGTTAAGGTGATGATGAATACATGACCAGGCTACTAATGTTGCTTCCTTCACCATACATAGCTAATGAGTACATCTGCTTAGAAAATTTTAGTGAAACACAAACACACAAACCCAAAGAAACCCAGGAAGATATTGTTATGCAAATTTGGACTTTTTTTCCTCTTTTTGCTCCAATTCTACTTTCTAAACATTCATAATCCCTGTGGCTTTTGTTGCAACATTATTTTGTTGTATTTATTTAGTTGAGATGGCCCTGGGCTCAAGAGTTTGGATCCAAATCCTAATCTGCATTTCCCCAAATTTTGGAGGATTTTGGACTGAGGAATTTGATTTAGGCTCATCTTCATCATGTAATAATCAACTGGACAAGCCAGACAAATTTAGCTGTGAAGAAGAAGTTGGACAAAGCAGCCCTTTACATTTTGATATAGATTTGCATAGCTTTATGCAAACAAAGTACAAGGATCACCACTAATCTTACTGTGCTGTGAAGATTTCCTCAATAATTATTCAATTCTGAAGTTAGTGAAGAACTACCAGTTTACTTCTAAATTCTTGCAGTAGCATCAAATGAGTGGTGCATTACAAATAAGTGCTTCCCGGTTCATGAAGTCATTTTGGAAATGAACATACTGTGATATGTAACTGAGCTGTAATTCTCAAAAGCATCTAAGTCACTCACTCGTCTTACAGACTTACTCATCCTCTGCTACAAAATATGGCATGAATACATTTTTATTAGTTACCGTTGTCTTCCTGAAAAGTAGATTCTAGAAGGTCAAGTGATTTCAAATGCTTTGGAGTAGCTGCAGACAGTGACATGATTTCTCCTACTGCTTCATGAAATCCTTCGTTAGCGCCACTTCTCAGCAGGAAAGAGAGGTTGGAATATGCCATATCATACTCTATATGCCCCATCTCATGATGTGCTGTCAAGAAGTCATCCATACTCACTTTAGTGCACATCTTGATCCTGCATTCCAATGCAAAGCATTTAAAAGTAAATAAAGATACTGGCAGAGCTATACCATTTGCTTGGTACTGGATGCTGTAGTTGTGGCTGCAAAACACCTTAAATAACTCACTTACTAACCCCCTGGTGTAATTCATGTTTATCGTTTTCTAAAACATTCGCCTGCCTAAAGGTGATTTTGGGGGAAAGTTTTAAGTAAAATTCCTTTGGCTCTTATTGAATTCTGCAGAGGTAAAATGAATATTGCCAGGCATTTTGTATGCAGCCATTTTTTACTACGCTGAAAGCTGGCACATTAACAGTGCTTATTAAGGAGAATCTCTGCCAAGTTTACATAATTGGTTGAATAATTAATACAGTAAGAAATTAACAAATATTGGCGACTGCATATAGAACTCTTTTTAGCCTGAGTATTTATAAATGTCCAGATGCACGTTGAACATATTCATTTTTTGTCAATATGCATTATTAACACTTCTGCTGCTACATGGAGATTTACAGCTTTATTGCACCCTTATGACTAGCTGGACTGTGCAAACTGCACACAGCCCAGAGTAAGGTGTGGTGCAGAGTTAGATCAACACTGGGGGAGCTCCAGGAGGGTTTGTGCCTTAGAGGAAAGGTAGCTTATCTCTGAAGTTAAAGGACATGGCCAAGTCACAGAAAGTTGGTTTTAGAACCAAAATCTTTACACCCAGGTTTCCTTTCTCTGCTAAGCCTCTGTATATCCACTTGAACACAGCGCCTTCCAAGCAAATTAATTACCCTTTCTGTGTCTCTATTCCCTGCTGTGGATGGTACTTTGTACCCACCTACGGCAGCAGTTTTCTATCTCTTGATCTCAGAACACTTTATAGAGACGCATAAGCACCATTTGCCACAATTTACAGTTGGGTTAGCTAAGACACGATTTGCCCGGGGGCCATTATGATATGTGAATAAGACATAGGGCGTAACAGGCAAGAGACCTGCTTTCTAATTGCCTCTCTGCCACAGACTCTGTCATTTCACTCTGGTGTTTGTTACCCCATGTGTGAAATGGAGATGTTGATTTCTGCTCACCTCATGTGGGTGTTGAGGCCTCACTATGTAATGTTTATGAAGTGGCAGTTAAGGACAAAGTACATACAGCACATAGTGACATACATGTGCTAAATTATGAAAGCATGTGATGAGCTGAATATATCATGAACCTTGGATCACCTCCCCTGGACTCTGCTCACTAATCCATCTCACCCAAAGCTACTCCTGACATTTCACACCTTCATACAACTGCTATTTCATAAAACCCCACCAGACAAATTGTTCTTTCCCCTCAAATGTGCCTTCCCTTCACTGTCACCAAATTACATTGGTAGATGGTCCAGGACTGGAAATTTTCACACCTAGATCAATGACTGATATCTGGTGACCCACCACTGGTCCAATTCTCTCCTTGCAGGCTATTGGTAACTACCATTGATTTCAAGGGAAGATACAACCTGCTCCAATGGGTCTCATTGTAGATAAATCCACATTCTCGCTGAACATGAAGCAGATACACGGGGAACAAATTTTCACTGATTTGCATCCCACGTGGTCCCCGTGAAGTTAATAGGCTAAGCACTGTCCTTTTTTGATAATTGTGTTAAAGTCCCACAACACAGTTGTTCTATCACTAACTTATATGAACACACTCCTCTGTTTAATAGAAGAGAGTAGCCCATTGATTTTACAGAAAAATGTTACAAAATCCAGTTTAGATTCCCCTAACCACCCTAAATCTGCCCCCTGCCAAAAATATTAGAGAAGTAAGGAAAAGATAAAATTAAAATAGCAGTTTTCCCTGGTGCACTTGACTAGATATCAAAGAATCATAGAAATGTAAGGCTGGAAGGGACCTCAAGAGTTCATCCGGTCTAGCTCCCTGTGCTGAGGCAGGACCAAGTATACCTAGATCATCCCTGACAAGTGTTTGTCTAATCTCGTTTTAGAAACCTCCAGTGACTGGGATTCCACAACCTCCCTGGGTAACCTATGCTAGTACTTAACCACACTTACAGTTAGAAAGTTTTTTCCTCTTATCTAACCTAAATCTCTCTTGCTACAAACTAAGCCAGTTACTACTTGTCCTCCCCTCATTGGACATGGAGAACTAGAGATCACTGCCCTCTTCATAGCAACCTTTTACATCTTTGAAGAGAAATGTGAAGATTCTATGAGTACCCATAGGAAACAATTACAATTGATACAGTACCTATAATCCTTTTTTCCCATATCCCAAGCTGTCGGATGGCAAACAACCTTTCTGCCATCGTTAGGCTCTGTAATCATAGAGTTGTTCCAGAAGCCTTCAGTCATTTCATAGAGGCCAACAGAGATGAAAAAATCCTCAGCAGCCTTAAATATTTTTGTTGCATCCCAATTCTGAAACAAACAATGATATTCACTGATAATATTAGCCAATCATTCTATAGCTAGATATTTCTCACAGTCCAGTAGAACAGATTCTCATCTGAAAAGTGATTCTGAAAAACAGCATCACAGTCCCCATACTTATTGTATCTCAGTGACTTCAAACCAAAGTCTTACAGTTTGCAAGTAAGTTGGTAGCTTACTGCCAGCCCTGAAAACTCATTACAGGAGCTGAGTCAAGCTGACTTATGGATCACCATCAATAATCAGGTTTCCGCAGTCAAAGCTAGCCTATTGATAATGTATGAACCAGAACAGAAAAGCATTAACAGGAGTGAAAAGCAGTAAAATCTTAGTTCTGTCAGTAATGTACACAGATATAGGGTCCGATTCTCCCCTCTCAGTGGTGTAAGTCTGGAGTAACTTGTTGAAGGCAGTGGAGTGGCAGTGTTGTAAAACCAGTGTGAAAGGGAAATTGGATCTGTAACTCAGAATACAAACAGACAGCAGAGCTGAGTAAAAATGGGTTCAATTTTAGAGTCATTTATCTGATCATAACTGTACTTGAAAGTTAGTTTAAAAACCTTCATTTGAATTTCATTCTGCAATTTTACTTATTCTAAATAGGGGGAGCTCTTTATTGGCCTATGAGTATGGCAGCCATAAAGTCAGAGGCTTTAAAATTAGGGGAGTAGGATAGTCCAGTGAGGGTGTTAGCCTGAGACACAGATGCTCTGGATTCAATTCCCTTCTCTGCTATAGACATCCTGGGTGACATTGGGCAAGTCACTTAAGGCTTGTCTACATGGGGGTGGGGGTGTGTGTGTGGAAAGCTCACAGGAGCTGGCGTGCACTAGCTCTTCCACACTAATTTCCAGTGTGGATACTCTTACTACGTACTGAGAGTGCCTTTGTGCACATTAGCTTAATGCACTTTGCAAGTGTACTAAGCTAAGCCACCTGAGGGCACTCTTAGGCCATGTCTACACAACAAAGTTAAGTCGACATATTTATGTAAGTCGACATCGAGCCTCCAAATTAAGCAAATCGATCTTGCATGTTCACACCACCCTCATTGTGTTGGTGGAGTGCGTCCTCACTAGCAGTGTGCAGTAAGAGTGTCCACCTCGGGAGTTAGTGAAGAGTTGTAAATTCACAACTTCACAATTTACTGCACACTAGGCTTCACTGTGTAGATAAGCCCCTAGTCTCCCTGTGCCTAAATTCCCCACCTGTAAAATGGGGATAACAGAACTTCCCTACCTTACCAGGAGTGTCGTGAGAATAAATCCATTAAAGATTGGGTTCAGGTACTCTGGCAATGGGACCATATTAGTGGAGCTTCTTATCCAAGAAGTGGGTATATTTAGGATAAATAGTTAAATTTTAAATACTAAGCTCTCCTGATTGTAGATTTGCCTGAATTTCATTCATTTTACAAAAACAAACATTTGATTAAACATCACAGAACATTTTTATTGTTACGCCTCGAGGCCCCAACCAGGTTCAGGGCCTTATTGTGCTAGGCACTGTATAACACATAAAAGACAGTCACTGTCCTTACACCTTACAATCTAAAGATGCAAGACTGGCAGAGCTGGGAAAAAGGATACAACATACAAGCAGATTGATCAGGGCAATTGTCTTGTTAGTGCAATGATTTCTTGGGTGGGATTTTATTTACTGGGATTTTTATACACAAAACATGGAACAGATGCAGGAGAGGGAAAGGGAGTTGGAACTGAGACTAGACAGTGGAAGAGGATGGGGAGAGGGAGAGAGGGAGGGGAATAGAATAGTGAGGGAGAGGGGAACAGATGGGAAGTGAATGGATAAACACAGGGGAAGAGTAAAGGAAACAATAAAAGGGAGTGTAGGAAATAATTCTGTGCCTGAAGCATGACTATACCTAAGACCAGCCCTGGTTTCCAGGGGGATGGCTGAAGTATTCTATTTAATAAACTACCTAAAAACATCATTTAAAGAACCATGAGAATAGCAGCAAAACCATATTTGCAGCTTGACATCTCATTAGAAGTCTTACCTTTTTAACCATTTCAGAAGTTACATCAATGTTTGGTTTGTCTGGATAGGGGACTGTCAAGGCATACAAATTAGTCCAAAATCTACCCCACATGTCACCTTCAACAGAGAAGGGAAAGTTACAGATTAATTAAATAGTATACTATCTACCATGCTCAAAGTCATCACCAGATTGTTGGGTTTGTATCATAACAGGTGTAAGGATTTTCACACATGTAAGCTAGGACCTGATGCAAAGCCCATTGGAATTAATGGGAGTCCTTACATTAACATTAATGGGCTTTGCATCAGGCACGTTATTATTTATTATTATTATGTTAGCTCCTAGGAACCCCAGTCATGGATCAAGGCCTCATTGTACTAGATGCTGTACAAAGACAGAACACAATGGTCCCTGTTCCAAGAGCTTAAAATCTAAGTATGAGACAACAGATGGATAGACATAGACAGGATATATTTAATATAATGATACCACAAGTAGAATATTTTAGAATATATAAATTCTAAATATATAATATTTTATATATATAAATATATAATATTTTATAAATATATAAAAGTTTTATTTGCCATACCAAAATTATTTCAACCTCAAAGGTGCTAATTTCTTCAATGAAAAACAAACACCATCATTCCCTGAGATAAACTACCTCTTACCATACAGCTTCAGGACCATTTCAAATTGAAACAACTGAGCATCCACTGCATTTCTATGTGTAATACTACAATTGATTATTTTCATTAACTGACATTCACATATGGCTAAATGTATACATTACATTAATGCAACATAAAAGTGGCACAGTTAAAATAAGAATGTCACGGTTAAGGTCAAAATTTTCAAAAAATGTGCCTAAAATCATCTTCCTAAATAAGAATTTAGTAGTTTAGCTTTAGATACCCATTTCTGAGAATCTTGACCTAATTTCCTTTAATGACGTTAAATTGGCTACATTACATCGTGCCATTTTGGGGAGGCAATATGGTCTAATGGAAAGGGCACTGGATTGGAAGATAGGGGACCTGGGTTCTATTCCTACCTCTGCCTCTCACCAGCTGTATGAGCTTTGGAAAATTGCTTCAACTCTCTATGCCTCTGTTTCCCCTCCCACTCTTTCTCTGTCTTGTCTTTCTAGACTGTAACCTCTGCAGGGCAGGCACTGTCTCTTTCCCTGTGTGTTTGCACAGCACCTACTGGAATGGGACCCAAAATTATATCAAGAATCTGGATTCACATGCAGTTTAATGTCTTAATATTTATGTCTTAAATGGCACTGTCCTGCTCCCACAGCAGTAAGTGTCTACGAAATCAAGCTTCTATAATACAGATGTTTTTTCATACCGAGTAAATGAGCAGGAAGACATCCTGTTGAACTGATGCGGTCTGAGCCATAGACATTCTCCAGCCTGTACCTCACATAAGCATGTAGCTCCCGATATAAAGGTTTTATCTAAAAAACGGGGATAGATCACAGAGCCATTAATTTGTCTAAGCCACCATCTAGAAATGCAGAGCCTCTAAGATTCAACCAACTGGATATTGTTTATTGTATTATCATGCACCTGTCCAATGTTCTAGGTGTATGTACACATTGTCATGTGGATACATTCTGAAATTTGCAATCCACTTGTTGTTGTTTGTCATCTTGTCCCACAATATTGATATCAGGCAATTCAAGAATGAATTTTGTGACTTTTACGGGGTCCGTTGTAAAGATCATCCTGACCTCATTGTGGTACTGGGGTGTTCCCAGAGGAAATGGCTGGCTAACAGGACCCTGGCAACCATATCCCCACCATTAAGTTGCATATGAGAGCTTGGAGACAAAATGCTACTGCAATCCAGCTTCCCCTCAGTAAGGCCCTAATAGCACTGCACAGGTGTAAGGAAGGGAGGCATGTCTATCCCTAAGCCATGGAATAGCTATGGAACCATTCAATGGATGTCACTACAGTCCCCTGGCAGAATGCTCTCCTGTGAGGTTTCACACAGCCCCCACACAGGAGAAGGATGTAAGAAGCTGCATAGCATGTAGTGACATCCCTCATTCTCCTACCTCCTGCTCACTGCTGTACCTTTTGCAGTAAAAATGCACTGGTTCCACGGCAAAGGGTACCTTCTATGGTTGTGATGGAGGAAGCTAAATTTTCCCCTAAAAGACTAGATAAATATATAGGCTTTGTAACAAATTCAGGCCCTGTTGGAGCAAGGGGAGAAGGGAATTCCAGAAAAGAGTCCAGGTTCATATGAAACCTGCAAGTTCCATTTGAGCTTGCCCCAGGTTTGCTTTGAAGTCTTAAGTTCGTGAGAATGTGAAACTCCAGGTGAAACTGAAAGGACTGTGAGAGCAATAAATGGTATGAACAAAACCACCTGATTATGGTTTGTGGAGCCTACATTACCCAAGGCCAGTGGGCTAGGCAGAGTTGTACTATTTTCCCATGGTACAGCTGTTTAAGTCACAAAACTTTCACAAATTACAAACCAGTGTAGAAATGACGAAATGAAACTTCAGAACTGTGGTTAAGAAAACTTCCACAACTTGACACTGAATCACTACCTGCTCAAATGTCGTTTCCACATCTTCAATCAGCTGATTACGGCTGTAGGCATATTCTGGGGAATTATCTACTTCATAATTTCCTCTCCAGTAATCTCCATAGTCAGAATACTCTGCAAAACAAAAGCATGCTCTTACTGAGACCAGAGTCCAGCCTGAAATTTAAACAATCTCTCCCTATAAGGGAAGAGATGAAGTTACTTGTATTGGAACTGAAGGCATGAGTGTGTCCTCTGAGACGGTGGGAGGGAGGAAGCCACCCCATGGAAAAGCTCTGTTCCACTGCAGTTTAGATAGCCCAAGTCTCCAGGGACAGCAGAAACAGAAATTGCGGGAACTGTTTGAAGGACTGTCTGTGATTCATGCTCATCAGAGAGGAAGAATAAAGAGACGGATTAGGCTAGAGTTCTTCATTAGATTAGGTGTCAAGGGAGAACAAAGACTTGGGTTCAGTTTCAGTGACAATGAAATCTCACAAATCAGTCTCATAAAACATATGCAGGACAGGCTGCCTCCAAACTAGACGTAGGAAAAAAGCCCTTTCTAGTTTTGAATCTACCTCAAGAGTACAACTACAGGGGCAAGCTCAGATCCTGGGATTCAAATTCAACATCCCCTCCATGAAATTTGATTGGGGAGGGGATGCTTCATGTTTAAAGCCCACTGTCTAGGCCCTCTCTAATACTGAGGGAGCTGGTAGCAAGGCCTCTAGTTAAAGTTGCCTTGACACTTTCCATTACAACCCTCCCTTTTCAATTGCTTGTAACTTTTGACAAACATTTACCATTTGGACTTAAATTTTCCATGCTTGGGCACTGCCTCTACTTAGACTTTTTTGAGGAAGGATAAAATACAGGAAAGTAGACAGGTAGAGGTCTGGTTGCGTGCGGAGAGATGAATGGAATTGGAAATGTTTCAGAAAAGGGCAACAACAATGATTAGGAGTATGGATCAGCTTCCGTATGAGGAGGGATTAATAAGACTGGGACTTTTCAGCTTGGAAAAGAGACGACTAAGGGGGAATATGATAGAGGTATATTAAAATCGTGACTGGTGTGGTGAAAGTAAATAAGGAAGTGTTGTTTACTTCTTCTCATAACACAAGAATTAGGGGCACCAAATGAAATTAATAGGCAGCAGGTTTATAACAAACAAAAGGAAGTATTTCTTCACACAATGCACAGTCATCCTGTGGAATTCTTTGCCAGAGGATGTTGTGAAGGCCAAGACTATAACAGGGTTCAAAAAAGAACTCAATAAGTTCATGAAGGATAGGTCCATCAATGGCTGTTAACTAGGATGGGCAAGGATGGTGTTCCTAGCCTCTGTTTGCCAGAAGCTGGGAATGGGCAACAGGGGATGGATCACTTGATGATTACCTGTTCTGTTCATTCCCTCTGGGGCACCTGGCATTGGCCGCTGTTGGAAGACAGGATACTGGGCTAGATGGACCTTTGGCCTGACCCAGTATGGCTGTTCTTATGTTCATATGATGTAGCTACACCTTGCTAGGTATTATTTATATGCTATGGTATGATCTATCATAGAAGCTCTCAGGATAAAAACAACCCATCCAGGCTGCTGTTTCTTGAGAGGATGATCCTCTCTGATTGGTGGGAAGAAGATCTCTGAAAAGCATCACACTGCATAATCTTTTGTGCCTTAAATTAAAAATTCCTTCAACTGCTCAGATAATAGCTGCATCTGCACCTCACCTAGGCAAATTATTGGCTTCACTTTAGGTAGTGAAAGATACTGTGGTGTTATGGGAGTGAGATAAAATGCCAACAAAGACAGACCTCTTTGTTATGGTGTCAGACTGGTGAAATGTATCTGGTCGGATCACTGGCCTGATTCTCCGCTGCCTTGTACAGTTAGTCACATAGGAACATGGGTTGTCAGACTGCACAGGACCTCCTGGGTCATCGAATCCAGTCCCTGCTACTGCAGGCAACCCCATCATATAATCCCATTCATAAAATGATCCAGATCCATCTTAAAATCTAGTTAAGTTGTTTGCCCCTACTACTCCTTTTGGGAGGCTGTTCCAGAACCTCACTCCTCCGATGGTTAGAAACCTTTTTCTAATTTCCCGCCTAAATTTATTCATAGTCAGTTTATACCTACTTGTTCTTGTGCCAACATTGTCATTTAACTTAAACAGCTTTTCAACCCTCCCAGGTGTTTACTGCCCTGCTGTATTTTTAGACAGAAATCCTATCCTCCCCTCAGCCTTTGTTTTTCCAGGCTAAACAACCCAAGCTTTTTTAGTCGCCCCTCATGAGATAGGCTCTCAGCCCCAAGACAGATCCAGAAGGAACTTCACTAGTAACTGTCCTTCAGCCTGATAGCTCTCCTTTCAGTACAACTTGTTGTCTCCCCTTTAGCCAGTTCCTAGTTATTTCATCAAAAATACCAGATTAGTCTGACATGATCTACCTTTGGTAAACCCATGTTGCATTTTATCCCTTTTTCTGTTTACCTCCATTATCTAGTTTCCCTGATTTGAGAGCATTAAGCTCTGGCTTTTGCTACCACTTCAGAGATGGTAATTTCCATTTTTGTACACTCATTCCTATTAGCCATCCTCCCACTGTTCTACTTTATCTTTCTGATGGAAAACTGAGCTGAGAGTTGTTGGGCCACACCTAGATTAGCCTTAGCCTCTACCCCATCCTCAAAGCATAGTGGCCTCACTTCTTTTCTTGTTCTTTTATTTATATGGTTAAAGAACTTTTTACTAATTGTTTTAATTTCCTTGGCATGGTCTAACTCAGCTTGGCTTTTTGGCAGTTCTCTCTTTATCCTTACACTTTCTGACCTCCGAGACATAGCTTTCTTTGCTGATCAATCCCATCTTCCATTCTTTGTAGGCTCTCTAATTACCATGAATATCCTTTCTGAGGTTGTTATTCATCTCATTAGGTCCACAGCCCTTTGTTACTAGTTATTGCCCCTTGCTTGGGTTGCAAATTCCACATCATTTTTGCACCTCTGACTTAAAGAAATTCCAAGCCGCCTCCACTTCTAAGTCCCTGAGCTCTTCTGTGCAGTTGACTTCACTACCTAGCTCCAGTAATTTCTCAAAGCGCGCCCTTTTGAAATCAAAAACCTTAGGGTATGTCTATACTACAGAGACTATACCAGCATAGGTATTTCACCATAGCTATGCCAGCATGGCTCCCTGGTGTAGACACAGCCTACACTGACACAAGGGTTTTTTCTGTTGGTGTAAGGCAGAACCACCCTGAATGATGGGAACTATGTCAACTGAAGCATTCTTCCATTGACACAGCTGTGTCTACACTGTGGGGTTAGGTTGGCGTAGCTACGTTGGTCAGGGGTGTGGATTTTTCACAGGACGTATCTATGTTAACCAACTTTTAAGTTTAGACCAGGACTTTGCAGATTACACATGTATAAAGAGAGTTCAAAGTGCGTGCACAAGGCTACCCACCAGTGTGTGGAAGATCCTGGCTTTGTTTGGACACAAATGACTGCACAAGGTATGAAGGGCTATGGAGAATCAGGCCTTCTGTGTTTCTGAAGGACAAAATAATTGCAATTGTAACTTACTATTAAGTCTTGCAGCCTCATTTTCCAACTCAACATAACGTTCATATAACGGTCTCATCTTCTTGCCAACTTCAGCTCTCCAGCCTTGCCATGCCCATAGTCTCTCAGAGTAATCAGTGCTGCTAGCCATAATAGCATCTAGCCCTGTCGTCATTTAAAAAAAAGAACCAGAGCCATAAATACAAGATGAATTCTTTAAGTACTTGTCATTCTACATTAAAAAACCAACAGGAAAACCGGGAAGAATGAAAACAGCAGAATACACATTTTGGGTAAAACCAGTCACGCTGTAGCTGAACGTTTTGGTTTATTGAAGGAAATGTTTTATTTGTTTCCATTTCAGCTTTTCTGCCCTGAGATATGGGGCCAGTTTGTGATTCAGGTAAAACAAGTGTGACCCTAGATTAATTTCACTGAAGTTAGTGCAGTTTTCTGTACTTACACCAATGTAACAGAAATCAGAATCTGGCTTGAAGTCCGCCAATAGAACTTCTATCTCTTTTGATAGAATTTGATAAATCTCCTCCAGTATGGCAGAACCCCCAAGTGATGTAAAGTTAGCACAGGCTGCTCTGCAACATTAGAAGCCACAGCCAAGTTTTGGCCACACAAACCTACATCATTTGAAACGGGGCATGTAATTTTGAGCAAACCAGATGGTGGACCATGAACTCTGCAACTCATGCTATTTCGTTAAATTATTTTCATGTGTGAAAAGTCACAGCAAAATTGTACTGGGAGATAAAAACCACACCACCAACAACATAAGCTTTATAAAATAAGAGCATTTGGAGAACACAGATCTATTAAACCTAAATTTTGATCTTTCACAATTAAAAACCTCCTCTCTGCTCTGTTTGACTCTTCTTGAAACCTGTTAACGTAAAGGACACAGGATAGACATTGTCTATACTGTACCTGGCTCCAGCGGCAAGCAGTTAAATGGATCATCAGGTTTACACACAGTCCCAGTGCTGTAGATGGTGCTCATTGTACTTAAAATAGTTTTCAGCTGCAATTTAAATACAAAAAAGCCCATTAAAAAGAAAACAATAAATACAAAATGATAAATATTCCATAACTGTTAGTCCTTAAAATCTCAGTACAGCAGCCTATCCCTATCAGCAAGGCAGTTTAGCATGTTCTTAAGCACTGTACTTGAGTAAAAATGAATTTAAGCATTTGCTTAAATGCTTTGCTAAGTTGGAGCCTACTTGGACAAGACAGATAATGTAATATCTTTTGAGTGGATACTAAGTGACTCCACAAAACCCTTCAGATACATCATCATCATAAAGATTAACAATGCATTTTATGTATATGGCACTCATGCCAAGGGTTTCTAGGTAAGTATACAGTACATATGTTTTAATGGAGGGGAAAGGTCCCTTTTCCAGATACAGACAGGTTGATTGTTGTATTTTTTAATGATACATAAAGTAGCTTATGTGAATCTGTTTACTGTGGCTTTACACAGAATTTAATGTTTGTCTTGCTTCAGCTGAAGGCCAAATGCATCTCAAAATATTCAGCTCCATCTCAGCCTCTACAGTTGTGCTACAGAGAATTCTCTTTTCACTTATCTATAGTTAACGTCTTTCTTTCTCAACTATCCTCAACTTTTCCAGTGCCAAGTAAAGCATATTCCCTCATTGAGGACTATATACTGCCCCTTCACGGTCACTCACAAGGATTGCTGTGAGAGGAATCCACAGCTTCTTCTGCTTTCGATCCTCTAGGGCATGTTAAGCTTCTGGAGCCTCAGCAGATTGCAGCACTGTTTCCCCCTTGTCCTGTTTAGCACAATTCCTGGTCACCAACCCTTAGTCTGTTACCCCTTCTCAGAAACCCAGCTCCTTATCCAACGTGCCCTTGCCCTCCAGAAACAGCACTGACCTGCAAGATACCCCAGTTACTCAAACACACCCTCTCTCAGAACTCCATCCCAAAGTGTGAAGCTTCTGGCTACAGTTTAACTCTTTCAGGGGCACACAGCAGTTGTGAAGCAATCAACACACACACACATAAACTTTGCATGGAGTCTAACACCTTAATACTCTTTTATACTTAATCATGTAAAGCAGAGGAGAATACAGATCACACAAAACAGTTAACCCTAAAGGCATACCCCTTCCTATAACACCCTTCCCTTGCGAGTCCTTAGGGACCATCTGATTCCAAGAAGGCAGGCAGGGTGACCTCTGCCTCCTGAAGGCTGTTACATGATTGGTAGTCTCTCCCTCCTGGAGCCCCTTACCTAACTTCTGTGACCTTCCTCTTTCATGCCCCATGCTTCCTTTTCCTGTCTCTTGAGCCTGCCTGTGGATTTCTTATTTAAACTCCTCCCAGTCACTTGATTGACTTTGTTCTCCTCCTGGTAGCTTTCCACTGCTACTTTATCACACACCTCATCAGAGGAGTCAGCTAAACTGGTTTCCTAAGGCTGCCACTCATCCATTGTCCCAGATGACTGCATCTGAATAGGATCACTGAGCCTTAGGCCTGGTCTACACTACAAAGTTAGGTCATCATAAGTCACCCTGTATTGACCTATATGTGTATGTGTCTCAGATTTGTCTCCAGCCAACGTAAGTGCCCCACTACGGCAACACAGTAAAACCACCTCACCGAATGGCATAAAATCATGGTTCACGTGCTGAGGTCAACACAGGATGACTGCAGACACTGTATGACCCATGTCAACGTTAACAGTCCTCCGCCAGCTGTTTCATAATGCCCAATTCCCTCTAACAGTGATCACTCTGGACACAATTGTAAACTCCACTGCCTAAAGGTCACAGATACTGGAGGACTTCCCCCCTTTGAAATCTCCACCATATTTTTGAAATCTCTTTTCCTCATTGCCACCTGTAGTGAGCACACCTAGCCGTTCTCCCTTGGTAAGCACCTTCTATTATTTCTGTCTGCTACAGGCCCTGTCAGCAATAGTGGATCCACGTACATATAGGCACAAATGATATCGCAGTTTTTCATAATACAACTTCATAATATCAACCAGAATTCATAAGCTGTACAGACATAGCCCCAATTCACAAACCTGCTCGCTTTTATATTTTGTATCAGAGCTATTCTGAGCTATCCAAGAGGAAAAAAAATGTTTGAGCAATTTCTGTAAGCACGAAAAATGATTGTGTGTGTGTGGGGGGGGTCACAATCAGAAAATTTAAAAATACACAAATGGAGTTCTGTCAAACAGTACAGAAAGTCGCCTTTGAGCTGAGAACCAGCATGAACGATTTCAGCCCAGTGAGTCTTCCTTCTGGAAAGCTATAAGTGCCTAAAAATAGAGGATAAAGATGGAAATGCCTTATCACTCACAACCACAATGCTGCCACTGCAACACTACAATTATACAAAATATTTGCCTGAACCATTTGGAATTGCTCACAGACAATCTGCCTTTCTCTGAACACAGGAATTGCCAGACTGGATCAGACCCAAGGTCCAACCTGTCTCTGACAGTGGCCAACACTAGATGCCTCAGAGGAACGTGTAAGAACCCCGCAGTAGACGGATGTAGGATAATCTGCCTCCACATCAGGTCTCATCTTGATCTCCAGTAGCTAGAGACTGGCTTAAGCCCTGAAGCACAAAGTTCAATATCCCTTCGGATATGTGCATAGTCATTAGGCATAACTCTGGATAGTCTTGATAGCCATATAAATGCCCAGTCCCATTTTGAATCTTCCTAGATTTTTGGCTTCAACCACTTTGTGGTAATTACACATCTGAACAATTATTTCCTTGTCTTAGTTGTAAATTTGCCACCTTTGAATTTCATTGAATGCATTCTTGTCATTTGTGTTTCTACTTATTCCCCAAGATCCTGACCCTACAAAGCACATAAGTGTGTATATAATTTTTCTTATGTGAGCAGTCCCATTGACTATGCTATACAGACACATGCGTGTTGCTTAATTGTATGTAACATATTGTGTATTCAATGAGTTCATGTAATGATCTAAACTTGTAGATATTTAATGCACAATATAAACTAGCAATAAATTAAATGTGCACATATGTAATATTAGCTAATAAAAGACATATCATTCACAACAAGACTACACTGTTGGGATTTAATATGTTGCTGGGATAAACAAAGACTAGGAATAATATTATAACCACTGCCAGAGACCTTTTGAAATGTATTTCAACTCTTGGGACAGCCTACATACGTTTAGCAACTTACTTCACTGTATTTTTCCTCAGATAGCGCTGATGTTCCTTTGTCCTGAAGAGACTGAAGTTGGAGTTTGACAATAGGATCCATAATTTTATCTATTGCATACTTGCTGGCATTGTTGGATGCTTCATCATAGAATGCAGACCATTTGGCTCCTGCTTCATTCTAAAACAGATTAATTAAAGTCTGAATTACTCATTTGTAAGAAATCCAGCAAGATAATAGGTTTTAGGGGAGAAAACATTCCTTGCATGAAGAATTAGTTTTGTGGATTTTGCTAGTTCTCTCATTAGCTTTGGAAATATTTCTACTATAAAATGAAAATAACTAGGGAACATTTTGGATTCAATTTATTCTCAAATGTAGAGCTTTTCAAATTATTTGTATTTGGAAAAATAGTAATCAAGTAGCCAATACCCTCTCCCCAAAACAAACAAACCAGTTTTTAATGGATTCAGAACCATCAAGCTGTGCGCATAGCTGGTTTATGTAACCATACATACTTATTACCGCTTCCCTCATCCTCCTTCCCTCCTGTATTTGTTGCATGTGGGTGTTGCATGCTGTCTTAACTTAGACCAGGGGTGGGCAAACTTTTTGGCCTGAGGGCCACATCTTGGTATGGAAACTGTATGGAGGGCTGGCTGGGGCAGGGGATTGGGGCACAAGGGGGGATGAAGGCTCCGGCTTGGGGTACAGACTCTGGGGTGGGGCTGGGGATGAGAGGTTGGGGGTGCAGGAGGGGGCTTCAGGCTGGGATCAAAGAATTTGGAGGGCGATCAGGGCTGGGGCAGGCGGTTGGGCCGTGGGGGGGAAAGGATGGTGCAGGATCCAGGCAGCCCTTACCTGAAGTGGCTCCTGGAAACAGCGGCCCGTCCTCCCTCTGCCTCTCACATGGAGGAGGGGCCACATTGCGCTGCCCCATCCACAGGCATCACCCCCGCAGCTCCCATTGGCCGTGGTTCCCGGCCAATGGGAGCTGCAGAGACGGCACTTGGGGAGGGGGCAGCATGTAGCTGGCTGCCCCTGCTTTCAGAAGCCACGTGGAGTGGAGCAAGGCAAGCCCCCGACCCCGCTCCCCAGCTGGAGCACCAAAGCGCGGAAAGCATCGCTCCCAACCCCACTCCCCGGTGGGAGCTCGAGGGCTGGATTAAAAGGTCAGATGGGCCAGATGTGGCCTGTGGGCCGTAGTTTTCCCACCCCTGAGTTAGACTGTAAGCTCTTTGGGGTATGGGGCATTCCTACCTATGCATTTAAATAGTCCATAGCTCAAGAATCATGATCCTGACTGAGTCCTTTGAGTGCTGCTACAATAGAAGTAATAAATCATAACTGCCATGTCACTGCTAGTAATTATGTGATTACACAAATATTTAATCTTCACAAAGTTATAATAATTCATTCTTACTGATTGGACGTGGAAGACCACACACTCCCAAATGCAGTTTAAGATCCTAAACTGTACATGGAGAATATGAACCCACAACATGCAGTTGCTTGCACCAACTCTGTGTGTCTATACTCTACAAGACAAGCTGGCTCACAGATGCAGTGCAACCCTTAGCACTTAACATTATTTGGATTTCGGCAGTCACTAGAAGAGCCATTTTTCATTTCCATCTTTTGTTATGGACAATGAGCACATGCAGGTTTGGTTTGGAATCTTAGGACACTTCTAATCTCCCTTCTGTATGTTTCATGACATTTAAGGGCCATTGTACTTACGGTTATCATAGCTCCTTGCTAATGACTCATCAGAAGATAAGAATTACCACCCAGCATGCAGACATTCAGAACTATGTATGAATATGTTGGCAATGTCTTTTTTTTCTTTATTCTTTGGGAATGAGCAAAAATGGGGATCATTTTCTTTTTAACACCTCAGTCCTGCTGTTTGATACCCAACCAGAGTAAAATTTAATAGTATGCAAATGTATTTTTTACATTATTTGATCCCAGCGGGGATGACCAAGCAAGTTGGGGATCAGGCGGAGAAGGGGCATTTTCTGCCCAATGAGAAGAGCTAGCTGGGGGAAGTTGGGTTGCCAGCCGGTACCTCTCCATGAGACGGGCTGGTTGAGTGCATGGGCTGTCCCCACCCATTTGGAGAAATGGTTGAGGAGTGGGCGAAATGGTTGTGTGATTATGGATGGGTGACCCCATTCTATAAAAAAAAAGTGGGTTTGAGTAAGCCACTGAGGGCACCTTTCGTTAACTCTGTCCCTTTAGCAGATGGGGCCATACCACTGTCACTGGTGGCATCACAATAGTGCATGCACGAGGGACAACTAGAGGCACCATCCCTGAGCACCATCATACTTGTGTTCATTACTGGTATCACACTGAGCCACCATCTTATCCTATTGCTTAAAGCTGCTAAATGGAGCTTCAATTTTATGTGTTTCAGAATGTCACAGACCCACGATTAGCCAGGAGGATTTCATCCTGCAATCAGGGACTATATTTTAATTAAGAAATGTTACACTTAAACCATGTTTTCCTTAAGTAGTAAGACTTCACTGGGTGTGGTGATTCTGAGTTATACCTTTATTCAAAATTAGGTCTATTGAGATTACACTGCGTCATCACATGCCATAATGTTTATTTAGAAACTAGTTTGCTTTAAAGTGTAGCTACAAAATTCACCACAATATTTTCCATTGATTTTCAAGATTCCAAGAATAGTAGATGCTTTCGAATATGGCTGCAGCACTGAATCCTCAGTGACCAGTCAGATTACGGTTGAATGCTGTCACAGCATATGATATCTGTCTAGAGGGGCAGGTGATCGTACTGCATAGCTAGAGGCTGAGCAGAGGCTGGATAGTTAGAGACTGGGAGACAGTGAATCTTATTGTGAGATAGGGCAAGCACAACTGTCACTGTCCTTCCTGTGGCTATATACTAGCTTCTATTAGTCAGGACATCAGGCCTTGGGAATCTGGAAATCTATGTATTCATTACATTTTCCTCACAGTACAATTCTACCTATTCCACTGGTGATTGCTAAGGATGCTAATCTATCAGAATAGCGACAGTGTTCTGAGGCAGACAATCATTCACTGTGAAATGAGTTAGTGACCTAAATCTAACTCACATAACCCGCCAAATGACCATCAGAAAATTTTCAGTAACTACTAAACTAAAATCCAAAATTGAACCCATCCCTAGTTCCTTATTCATTAGCAATTCCTATATATCTATCTACAGCAATACAATAAAATATAATGTAGTTATAATATTTCTAATATAAAAGCAAGCATTCCGAGTCTGCATTATGTACCCACCATCTTTTCAGCGTTCTCATCTGTGATGTTGGTGTTGTAGTCCCAGGAGGCAAGTGAACTTGCATAAGACAGGTCTTCTGCTCGTACATTGAATTGAGACAAAAAGTTGCTGGCCTCTTGTGTTGTATCCTGTGATGTAGCAACAGCAGCGAGACTGCAAAGAAGCCAAAGATGGACCAACATACTTCCTTTGAGCCAAGATCCACTGATTGAGTTAGGTTCCCTCAAATAAGCTTCCTAATCAGCTTCTCTCTCAACAGCCTTTGCACATAGGTGTGTGCTAGGGGAAAAAGGGAGAATCCAATTTGCTGGATCTTTTATTGTTTTTATCCAGTGAAGGACAAAAATGAAAATAGCTTTAAAAAGGCAAATAAACAGAAGTTAATGGTTAACTTTGGAGAAACATAATTACTAGTAGCATTTTATGGTCTTCTTATAAAAGGCTTTTACTTTTAGTTAATATTTCCCCAGTATGCTGTCCATGATACCGCTGGTTATTATCTATAGTCTCACAGTGTCAGAGGAAGTCCAAGATCTGCAAATCCTTTAACAGATTGATGATAATCTACAAAAAGAGTTTGCAAATTCAGTGAGACACGACCTGACCTTATCTCTTAGGAAGAAACAAAGTCAGTGTAGGACTAGTGATCAATGGCTCCATGTCTAGTTGGCAGCCGGTATCAAGTGGAGTGCCCCAAGGGTCGGTCCTGGGGCCGGTTTTGTTCAATATCTTCATAAATGATCTGGAGGATGGTGTGGATTGCACTCTCAGCAAATTTGCGGATGATACTAAACTGGGAGGAGTGGTAGATATGCTGGAGGGGAGTGATAGGATACAGAAGGACCTAGACAAATTGGAGGATTGGGCCAAAAGAAATCTGATGAGGTTCAATAAGGATAAGTGCAGGGTCCTGCACTTAGGATGGAAGAATCCAATGCACCGCTACAGACTAGGGACCGAATGGCTAGGCAGCAGTTCTGCGGAAAAGGACCTAGGGGTGACAGTGGACGAGAAGCTGGATATGAGTCAGCAGTGTGCCCTTGTTGCCAAGAAGGCCAATGGCATTTTGGGATGTATAAGTAGGGGCATAGCGAGCAGATCGAGGGACGTGATCGTTCCCTTCTATTTGACATTGGTGAGGCCTCATCTGGAGTACTGTGTCCAGTTTTGGGCCCCACACTACAAGAAGGATGTGGATAAATTGGAGAGAGTCCAGCGAAGGGCAACAAAAATGATTAGGGGTCTAGAATACATGACTTATGAGGAGAGGCTGAGGGAGCTGGGATTGTTTAGCCTGCAGAAGAGAAGAATGAGGGGGGATTTGATAGCTGCTTTCAACTACCTGAAAGGGGGTTCCAAAGAGAATGGCTCTAGACTGTTCTCAATGGTAGCAGATGACAGAACGAGGAGTAATGGTCTCAAGTTGCAGTGGGGGAGGTTTAGATTGGATATTAGGAAAAACTTTTTCACTAAGAGGGTGGTGAAACACTGGAATGCGTTACCTAGGGAGGTGGTAGAATCTCCTTCCTTAGAGGTTTTTAAGGTCAGGCTTGACAAAGCCCTGGCTGGGATGATTTAACTGGGAATTGGTCCTGCTTCGAGCAGGGGGTTGGACTAGATGACCTTCAGGGGTCCCTTCCAACCCTGATATTCTATGATTCTATGATAGTGTAATGTTGCTGCTTGGCCTCTTAGGGTATGTCTACACAGCAAAGAACCCCACCCCGCAGCTGGCCCATGCCAGCTGATGCAGGCTCTCGGGGCCCAGACTGTGGGACTGTTTCATTGCTGTGTAGACTTCCGGACTTGGGCTGAAGATGGGGTTCAAGGACTCTGCTGGGTGGGAAGGTTCCAGAGCTCAGGCTACAGCCCAAGCCTAGACATCTACACAGCAGTGAAACTTCCCTGCAGCCAGAGCCCCTCAAGCCTGAGTCTGCTGGCACAGGCCAGCCATGGGCTTTTCTTTGCTGTGTAGACAGACCTGTAGGCCCAGATCCTCAGGGTTTGCAAGGGAGGAGCCAGGTATTTAGGTGCCTAACTCCTACTGAAATTAATGGGAGTTAAGCACCTAACTTGCTCATGTGCTTTTGAAAATCCCACTAAGTACCTATCTGCATCTTTAGGCACCTAAATATATTTGAAAATCTGGCCCTTAGTCAATGGGACTTACGCTTTTAAGTGACTGAGTCACTTTTGAAAATGATACTTAGGCTCCTAAGTCTCTTAAGCATTGCAATGCCTTCTTTTCTATTTGGGAAGGGCTTAGCACAGTGTGAGCACTACCAGAAACAAAGAAGAAAAAGAATAAGAGTTCATTGTTATTTTATTGTTTATTATTTGTATTAGGTCAGTGCCTAGAGAAAGGCCATTTGTAACGGAATTAAGAAGGATAAACCTGGGACATTCTAAGTGATAATATCTTGGGTTTTCCAAGGTAATTTACCAAGAGGCAGCTCAAGTCTCTTTTAGCTGAGGATCTATGTAATGTGCCACATGCAGAACATTACATATACATTTTGCACCTTGTTCTCAATCTATCAGGTAGAGTTCTGAATTATATCACAAAATGACTTCATTATGAAATCCTTTAAACTTTCTGACTTATTTATAGGATACGAAAAAGTGCACCAGTAAGTGAAAATATTTCATAATGTAGACTATTATTTGCAATGTAGACAGGAATTCCACTTTGCACATTCTACAGTATTTTCACAGAGGGTAAACCTTTATTGTGATATGAATTAGTAGAGGTTTAAACTTGAGCTTTCCCTACATTAGAGAAATTTGGCCTGACAACCACCACATTGTGACCACCCAAGATGCCTGTCCCAGATCTCAGCACCAGCTTCTTCCGCAGCATTGTTATTTACCAACAATTCTCAGGAGAAGGATTCCTATGGCTGTGCTGCCAGCTGTCCAGAGGCAGTTGTGGGGGAATTGGTGACCATCTGGGACAACAAGGAGATCCAGTCATAGCTGAAATCTGTAATTCAGAACACCCAATCTGTCACCTGGTTCCAAATCCCTTGCTGACCAAGGCATCACTCAGTTCAGCAAGTAATGCAGGAAAATGTTAAGGGCAGGAGTCAGGAAGGGATTCCGCCTTTCAGTGTATTCTGGGAACTTTTTTCTCTCTTACTCTGAAAATTGAGGGATGGCCATGGCTGGAGATGGGACAGTCAGCAGGGTTGGCCAGGGCTTTGAGGTGGCACCGAGCATTCTCTCTCTCAGGTGCTTGGCTGCCTGGTTCTTGCTGACATGCTCAGGGCCTAACTCAGGGGTGGGCAAACATTTTGGCCCGAGGGCCACACCGGAGAATAGAAATTGCATGGCGGGCCATGAATGCTCACAAAATTGGGGTTGGAGTGTGGGACCGGGTGCGGGCTCTGGGGTGGGACTGGGGATGAGGAGTTTGGGGTGTAGGAGGGTGCTCTGAGATGGGACCGAGAGGTTCGGAGGGCGGGAGGGGGATCAGGGCTGGGGCAGGGGTGCAGAAAGGGGTGCAGGTTCTGACTGGGGGTGAGGGCTCTGGGGTGGGGCTGGGGATGAGAGGTTTAGGGTGCAGGAGGGTGCTCCAGGCTGGGATCAAGGGGTTTGGAGAGCAGGAGGGGGATCAGGGCTGGGGAAGGGGGTTGGGGCATGGGGAGAGGCTCGGGGGTGCAGGATCTGAGCGGCACTTACCTCAAGCAGTTCCCGAAAGCAGTGGCACATCCCTTCTCTGGCTCCTACGCGGAGGCATGGCCAGGCGGCTCTGTACGCTGCCCCATCCGCAGGCACCACCCCTGCAGCTTCCATTGGAGTGCATAGGAGCCGGAGCAGGGCCATGCCGCAGCTTCCAGGAGCCGCGTGGTGCGGCCCCAACCGGAGCAGGCCTGAGCTGCGTGGTGTGGCCCTGACCCAGCACTCCCCAGCCAGAGCATCGGAGCGGGGTTGAGCTGCTGGTGCTGCCCCCGCCCCCGGCTGAAACACTGGAGCGGGGCTGAGCTGCATGGTGCGGCTCATAGGCCGGCTTAAAACAGATCACGGGCCAGATCCAGCCTGCGGGCCTGTCATAAATATAAAGGGAAGGGTAAACCCCTTTAAAATCCCTCCTGGCCAGAGGAAAAATCCTCTCACCTGTAAAGGGTTAAGAAGCTAAAGGTAACCTCGCTGGCACCTGACCAAAATGACCAATGAGGAGACAAGATACTTTCAAAAGCTGGGAGGAGGGAGAGAAACAAAGCGTCTGTCTATATGCTGCTTTTGCCGGGGATAAACCAGGAATGGAGTCTTAGAACTTTTAGTAAGTAATCTAGCTAGGTATGTGTTAGACTATGATTTCTTTAAATGGCTGAGAAAAGAATTGTGCTGAATAGAATGACTATCTCTGTCTGTGTGTCTTTTTTGTAACTTAAGGTTTTGCCTAGAGGGATTCTCTATGTTTTGAATCTAATTACCCTGTAAGGTATCTACCATCCTGATTTTACAGGGGTGATTCCTTTACTTCTATTTACTTCAATTTCTATTAAAAGTCTTCTTCTAAGAAAACTGAATGCTTTTTCATTGTTCTCAGATCCAAGGGTTTGGGTCTGTGGTCACCTATGCAAATTGGTGAGGATTTTTACCAAACCTTTCCCAGGAAGTGGGGTGCAAGGGTTGGGAGGATTTTGGGGGGAAAGACATGTCCAAACTACGTTTCCCAGTAAACCCAGTTAGAGTTTGGTGGTGGCAGTGGTTATTCCAAGGACAAAGGATAAAATTAATTTGTACCTAAGGGAAGTTTTAACCTAAGCTGGTAAAAGAAAGCTTAGGAGGTTTTCATGCAGGTCCCCACATCTGTACCCTAAAGTTCAGAGTGGGGGAGGAACCTTGACAGGGCCGTAGTTTGCTCACCCATGGTCTAACTGATCACCATTGGTGGGGTCAGGAAGGAATTTTCCTTCAGGTTAGATTGTAGGGTTTATTGCCTTCCTCTGCAGCATGTGGGTGCGGGTGACTTGCCAGCATTATCTGGGTGTATCTCATGTAATCATTTCCCTGCCTGTGGTACATAATAGTCTAGTCTACCGTGGGCTGTAACACTTCAGTCTAAGTTCCATTGTTGGATTTAGTGTGTGGGTGCTGGGTGGGGTTGATAGTTTGCGATACATAGGAGGTCAGACTAGATGATCGGGAGGTCCTTTCTGGCCTTGAACTCTATGACTCTATAATATGGCCTGAAACAATAACAGCATATCCAGGGCAGGGAGGAAACCTGCCCATTCTATGGCGAATTGGACAGATTTCTTGGTGA